CATAGTTAACAGTTGTCTGATTATTTGTCTCCCCTACCAAATGACTCCATGTGGGCTGAAATTTGGTCTACTTTACTTAGTGTTGTATTTCCAGAATTCAACACAACACCTAGCATGTAGTAAGGCACTGAAATATTTTTTGAATAGACTTCTTGTGATAAACACCTGCAACTCCAGAACTTAGCTGAAGTGTGAGTTTTGCAAATAATTTCAATGAAGTTATAAAATTCTAGTTAGGACTCGCTTTCACATTAGTAGAGACAGTTTAGGATCACTGGATTAGGATTCTTGTGCTCCTTGCTTTGCCACCTAGCTTGTGACTTCAGGCAAAATACTGAACCTCTTGAAGTCTCAATCTTCTCCTTTGTACATGAACTCAATAGTAACCATACCTTCCTAACTAGCTTTGTGAACCTCAAAGAAAACTGCAGAAAACACTTTGAAATTTGTAAAATACAAATGCAAGGTCTGATTCATAAAATATCCATGTTCTCTGGAACAGTCAAGTCCAGAATGAACCAAGTCATGCAAGAGAAAAAAAGATGCTTAAAGGCAACAATAAGGACGTTTGAAATATGTTTCTAGCAAGAGCGAGGATGGATAAGACACAAAGAATAAAGTATTTAGTACTTAAACTTTATTTCCCTTTTGCCCCAATGTACCCCAAAGAAAAAGAAATCAGCTTGGAGGGTGATATTCAAGCTCTGAAATGTAAAGTGATATACATATGATGGAATTAAAATCTGAGATAGTCAACTGATTTAAAGGAGCTAGTTGCTCGAGTCGCCAGATTCAAATGAATTACATGCTGGGTGCTGAAGAACTTGCAGATAGGATCTCAGAAACTGGAAAACTGAAACCTCCAAGCAGAGTAGGAATGTATAACTTTCCCAGTTTTTACAGTTTTAAAAAGTTATGTCCTAGAAACTACTAACAAATTTACTTGACTTTATGAAGCCAGCATGGTTTCACTAAAGCACTATTTGTTCAATAAACTAATTGATTATCTGCTGTGCCAACCTTTGACCATAAGCCCTCAGTCTACTGAGAAACATACCTGTATAAACATAATTGCTTCGATGAGCCCTCTAAAGTGATATCAATAACAATGCAATGTGTAATGTATTTTACAAGAGAGAGCGCTGAAATCAGTCTCATTACATTTTATTTTGCAGCATTGATCAACATCATGGAAATGCACATTCAGCAGGTTATTTAGTAAGATTTCATGTATTCTTATGCTTGAGTCATTAATTCAACAAACCAATATTAAGGACCATACTGTGCCAAGGGCAAAGAAATAAAATATGGTTCCTGCCCTCAAAGTACTTACGTCCTGGTGGGAGAGACAGACGAGTTGTAACAATTATAGTGTAATAGGTAAAATGTTATGATGGAAGGAAGCAAAAGGTGGCTTGGGAGCACTGAGGGGCATACTTTAAAGAAGAGAGAGGTGGTTTGTCAGGGAAAGATTTCTTTCTTTCTTTTTTTTTTTGAGGAAGATTAGCCCTGAGCTAACATCTGCTGCCAATCCTCCTCTTTTTGCTGAGGAAGACCGGCCCTGAGCTAACATCTGTGCCCATCTTCCTCTACTTTATATGTGCGACACCTACCTCAGCATGGTGTGCCAAGCGGTGCCATGTCTGCACCTGGGATCTGAACTGGCGAACCCCGGGCTGCCAAAGTGGAACATGCACACTTAACCACTGCGCCACTGGGCTGGCCCCAGGGAAAGATTTCTTAGCAAGGGAACACTGGAGGTGACACTTCAAGGCTACATAGGAGTCACGATCTAAAGAAAGAGAATAAAAGGCATTCCAGACAGAAGGAACAGTGTGGAAGAAGGCCCTGAAAAACGTGAAGAATTTGGGAAACGAGCAAACTGACTAAAATGGAGGCACCATGGTGGAATATGGCAGGAGTCCAGGCTAGAGAAAAGTCAAACCATGATTGAATGCCACCTTAAGGAAAATGAACTTTATCCCAAAGCAGGGAAGTGTTTTAGTAGTTGGGATGATTCATAATTGGTTGAAAAATCGTAACCAAAAATCTTGATTGGGTGGAGCTGTGTCAATCAGGAGGGATGTCTCCAATGCTATACTATAGAACCTTGGCTGCACCCAATTGTATTCAACATTTTATCCATAAAATTAATGAAGAGATGATCTGCTTAGCCAAAGCAGATAGTCAGTGTAAAAGAAGAGTCCAAACGATCTTGACAGGCTGAAACAATGAATGAAATCTTACAAGATAAAATAGGTACACTATTGAGGATAATTAACAAAAACAGTTCCATATTGAGAAAGCTAGAACTAGATGTCTCCTGAGACCTTTGACTTTTGAAATTTTGTGACTCTATTTCCAAAGAACATTTGTCCTCCTTTAAATAGCTGGGTCTTCTATTTTCTTGAAGATCACTTTCTTGGCAATAATCTACATAAAAGCACCCAGTATACTTGAAACATAGTAGATATTGTTTTATTCTTATCTTTTTGTTTCTCCTTTTTTTTTCTTCCCCTAATCTGATTGAAACATAAGTAGCCAGTCATAGGAGAATGTTTACTTCATTCAAGAAGGAGTCTTCTCTTTTGACATAAAGTACAGGAGCTATACAGCATGTTTCATCAAACCCAAGACACTAGTAATTGTAAGACATCATTTTATGTACCATTAAGAAATAAAAAATGCTGCCAAGTATAATTTAACACACTATTAATTGTAAGACATCCCAATTTTAGAGATGTTAAAATGTAAAAAAAACGTCATCATAGAATTGATGAAATAGGGGCCAGCCCTGTGGCCAAATGGTTAAGTTCGTGCACTCCACTTTGGTGGCCCGGGGTTTCGCCGGTTTTGATCCTGGGCGTGGACCTAGCACCACTCATCAAGCCATGCTGAGGCTGTGTCCCACATGCCACAACTAGAAGGACCCACAACTAAAATATACAACTATGAACTGGGGGGCTTTGGGAAGAAGAAGGAAAAATAAAAAATAAAATCTTTAAAAAAAAGTTGATGAAATATATCTTTTTGCGAGTAGAAATGGTAATGAGCCTCAGTACTACATTAATTTAAAAAAGGGATTATTTCCAGAAATATTTTCTAATTACAAAAGGGTACACTATAATTAGATAATATACTCTTTTGATAATCAACGGTTTTGTGATTTGTAGGGAACTAAATGTTAGGGCTAATTTGTAGCATTATTTCCCATTCTAGAAGTTCCTGAATCTGTCTAATTAAACATCTGAGCAGCAAAGTCTTTAAACATTGATTTTAGGATAGTTAGGGAGTTGGCCTCAGAGGAAGCAGATCTAAAACTCAAAAGCTCAGGAGCAGATCTTTTTTCAGTAGGGTGTCTGAGGTCTATTATAATGATTGTCAAAATGATTTCACTGGCAAACATTACAATGTAGATGCAAAAGACTTGTTGACTAAGTGGATATGAGGGGGAGTATGGAGTCTAGAATGACTTCCAGGCTTCTGGGAACTCTGGATGATGGTAACACTCACTGAGATAAGAATTGGAAGACAAGGAGAAGAGGACTTGGAGGAAGATGTGTCAGCACTCATCACCATTAGACTCAGGCTGGATGGGATATACTGTTCTCTGTAGATCAAGATGGATCTGCAATCATTTCTCCAATAATGATTACAGGATCATAAGCAATTAGAGTTGGAAGAGATCTTAAAAATCACTTAGTTCACATCCACCTCCTCTCATTATCCCCCAAAGCAGTGTTTGAATTCCCTTCATGCTCGTCCTGTGAAATAACTATCCAGGGAGAATAAACTGCTTAACTTCTCTCAGTCTCAATTTCCAAAATTGTAAAAGGGACAATAATATTACCTACCTCAGAGAATTAAATCAGATAATAGATATAAAGCAGTAGTGCCTAGCAAGTGTTCAACAAATAAGTCCTTAATCAATATCAGCTTAAAAAAGACAACGCTGTACAGTTTGTAACCCATTAATAAATTGTTAAATCAATTCTAGTGTGTAGCCACCAAGGAATTTAAAGAGGTGAAATAGAATACATAACATGTATCTGAGTATTATTTCATAGAACATTTGTTTCCACTTAACTGTGGGTATATATGCATATGTGTATTCTGGGTCACAATGTGACATGTATTACTGTGGGTCAGGTGGAAAAAAGTTTGAGAAGCACTGCCACATACATTAGTTCTTTTCTTCCTCTGCTGATTTTTCATATTGAATGCAGACATTATTTTCAAAGAGATTATCCCTCTGTCAAAGCCTTGGAAGCTACAAAGTTTGAAGTACTGTATCTCTGTAAAATTTTTGTTTCCAGCTACTAAGACAATATCCGGTAAATAGAAACTGCAAAATACACATTGATTGAACCAAGAAATAAAATGAAAATATATAAAGATTAGAGATTCTTAATGTTTCCTGGGTGATCAGACTTCAGTTGTTGAAAGTTCTGGACCCTCTTTGCAGAAGTGCCAAGCACTCACAATTCTGCCCATTCCAGAGAATTCCTGAAACTCCATTGCTCTCTATCTATGGCCTTTAAGTTAAGAACTCTAAAGTGAAGATATTTAACTTCCGACTGTGAGGTCGAGAGCGGAAGAAGGCTCGCGATTAGATTACTTTTTAAGATCTCCTACAAATCCTAGGATTCTAGAGCTTTGGTGCTGGGAGAGCACAGGCAAAGATGGAAAGAAAACAGTACAGTCTGATTCCATTAGTGCTCTTGTCAAAGAATAGTGGGGACTTAACATTTCTTTTACATACATTGTCATTTGAATTCCACGATAATCCTGTGATGACGGAACTGCAGCTCGGAGGGATTTAATGATTTATCTAAAAGGACACAGCAGGCACGCTCTGGAAAAGGCTCTGGAAGCAATTCTTATTCCACACCTTGGGAACTGAAGTTGGGCAGACAAAACAGCCCGGGGAGGAAGGGGTGGGACCGCGCATGCGCACCGTTGCATCAGCGCGGGCGTCTCCTGAGTTTCCTTTCCCAGGCACCCTTCCTCTCAGTGCACTACGGTGGCCGACGGGAGTCAGACGCTGGGGATGAATGAAGGTGCTGGGTGCAGGTTGAAACAGTCTTCTCCGCTTTCCCCTCCCTTCAGTCCGGGTTCTGTCTTTGTGCGGTGTCCTCTTCCAGCCCCCGTCGCACCGCCGACCCGATTGGTCCCGGCGTCTGGGTTCTTGGTGCCTGGGTCGACTCAGGGCACAGCTAGGATTGGGGAATCCGGGTTATCGCCTAGGCCCAACTTCAGACCGCGCTCTTGATTTCTGCCGCGTCCCGCCTCTAGGGCGCGGAAGCCGGGTGGGGTCCCGGGAGGCTGGAGGGCAGATCTTAAGGTATGAAGCTTCCGCTTCTCAGGCCTCAGCGCGTTGCCCGGTCCCTGTCGCCAACCTGCCCGACTTTGCTCAGCCGCAGGGACTGGTTGGTTCTCATTACGCCCGGGGTGAGACCTATGAGCACAGGAGTCTTGGCGCCTCTGCTTCATCAGCCCGCCCCTCTGTTAAAAGGCCAGCTTCCCTTGCTTACTAGCAAAGCAACATTTCTGCCCACCATTCTGCTGGTCTGTGGGTCTTTAAGGGGATAGCTTTGGCTCCCTGCTCTCTGTTTTTTATTTTCTTTTTTGCCTCTGATTACTCCTGAAGACAGAAGTGCCCAAGTGGGACTCATCTTTCTCCCGTAGCTAATTGCGCCTCCACAGCTGTTTTTTGCCCTGTAACACAGGGGACATAGGATAGTGATAGGGCCTCTCGAGCGTTGAATCCAGCATTGATTCTGCTAGTGAGGCAATTTACCCATGCTTCCATGGACTCCTGGAGGGTGGGAAAGAGAAGCCTAACAGTTCTTGCCGTATGTTGTGTAGGCATGTGAAACTAACGAGGTGCGGAAGAGGAGCCTTCTTAACTGTGCCGTTCCTTTACCTTTATTTAAATTGTGCACTCATGACTGGCATAGAGGAGAAAGCCTTGGCCTGGGATTTAGTAGATGAGGGTTCAGCCTTGGATTTTGCCACTAACTAGTAATATTACTATAGGCCTGTTACCTAGTCTCTCTGGGCTTCATATTCCTTCTTTGCAAAATAAGAGTATTAGAACAAAAGACCCCTAAGGCTGGAAGAAACATTAATATATTCTATTTTCTTTCTCATTTTCCAGATGGCAGTAGAAACATAGAGAGCCTTTTATTGTGCCAGGAACATAGCCAACATAGGGGCCTTTTAAAGATCGACATGTTTCAGGGTTTTTAAAAAGAACGCTGTTCATACATGTGGAGGTTATTCCTCTGCTTTTATTTGTTTTTTTACCACTAGGATCAACAGTGATAATGACCGAGTGTACAAGCCTTCAGTTTGTCAGCCCTTTTGCTTTTGAGGCAATGCAGAAGGTGGATGTTGTTCGTTTGGCATCTTTAAGTGATCCAGAATTAAGACTTCTCTTGCCCTGCTTGGTGCGGATGGCACTTTGTGCTCCTGCTGATCAGAGCCAAAGCTGGGCCCAGGATAAAAAACTCATCCTTCGCCTTCTCTCTGGAGTGGAAGCTGTCAACTCCATTGTTGCGTTGTTGTCTGTGGACTTTCATGCTTTAGAACAGGATGCCAGCAAAGAACAGCAGCTTAGGTAATGTTATGTTATATAATATGTGCATTGGGGTTTACTTGGATTTGCCAAAGAAGAGGGAACCAAATTTTTTTTGGAGCTTTTAGGGCTTTTTATTAGATGCACTCCTCCAGAAAAGAGAAGATTGAGAATATAAACTTTGGAGAGCATTTTACTTAGTTCTCTTCTGTTTATGGTTAAAATTCTAGGATCTTTGAGTTCCATGTATAACACGTTGTGTAGAAAAGTTTGGCTATATACACTGTTGTATTCGGGCTAAACTGATTAGACCAATTACTCTCAGTGGAAAGTGGGAAAGGTAAGTTCCCCTAGAGGAGAGGAATTTATTGGAATCACTTGAGAGGCTTTTTAAGCTGACATTGATTCCCCGAAATTCCGGGCAGATGTTTTGTCTTTCCCTGCCCATTGTGGGTCCAGTAGTGAGCCACTGTCAGTGCAGGTGGGTGTTAACTATCAGTTGTGATGGAGTCTTTACATAGGCTGTGAATCCCTGAAATAGATAGGCAACCTAAACAGTATTTTAGAAGGAATATATTCATGAAATGGATGAAAATAATTCATACATTCTTTTGTAGATTATTTCAATAAAAGATCATTTTCATGCTATTATTCCTGTGTTGGTCTTCTCATAATTGTTGCTTTACACGTCTGTACTTTATTAGGCATAAACTCGGAGGAGGCAGTGGAGAGAGCATCCTGGTATCACAGCTGCAGCATGGACTGACGTTAGAATTTGAACACAGTGATTCGCCTCGTCGATTGCGTCTTGTGCTCAGTGAACTGTTGGCAATTATGAACAAGGTGCATTTATTTTAATCACAGCTCAAAATCTGCATGATCTGATGTCTACACATAGAAGGTGGAAACAGGCAGGAAGGCAGGCAGGCTGCATCCTCTTCTACACGTATTTCTATTTGTTGTAGAAATGTTTTCCTTTCAAAGGCTTGGAAAGACACTAAATGCTTGCCTTAAAGGCTTTCTTTCTTAATAACTATTTTCTTTCATTTGTGCCTATTCTGCATTCTTTATCATAGGGATTTTTTTTCTGTATGGAGTCCATTCAGTGACTTGTACAAATTACCAAACTTGACAGTACTTTTATAGGATGTAAATTTCCCTGTAAAATGTTGTGAAGTATAACTGAAAAATGTATGTGATTCCTTTAGACACTGAATGAGGATTAATTATCTCATAGATAACACTGAGGAGGAAATATCAGAGCTGAACTGGACGGAGGGTCATCCGCTAGCCTCGCTCACTAGGTGACTGAATTCCTCCTCACACTAATGAAGGCTATTCAGCTTCTCATCTCAGCAAAATGATAGATTACTTGGGGTCTTGGACCTTTGGGTAATTATTTTAAGTTTGTGAATTTCAGGGGTCTACCATACAAAGAACTAAATTGCATCTTCATATTAAGATGGATTATATGAGATTAGGCCCAGAGTTTCAGAGGCAAAAGTTATTTTGTTAGAATTTCAAGGTCAGTTAAATTATAATAAATAAAGTTTAGTTTTATAAATTGTGGACAAAACAACTAAATTCTCTTTCCAAAGAAAATGCTGATAAGAGGGAGTTTCAGTTTTAGATAGTTTTTAAGATATGTTACAAATCTTTAAAAAAATTTCTTTCTGTTACAAGCATTTATTTCCATCTGCTCTTTTCTACTATACTGATGGTCTTTCCTTTCAACCAATATTTTTCCTACATCTTTTTCTCAATACTTCACTTGATAGCTCTAATAAAAGAAGTGACCTTTCTCCTCTGGGAGGTTTCCAGTTTTTCAGTTCAGCACTCTTCAGCATGTGCGAAGTGTGGTGATAAAACTACTATAGGAAATTTTTTAAAAAGTTAGTAGGTACTTTTGTTGACATAAATTTTTATTCTTTGTTTTTCCCACAGTTCATTTGGAATTGAACATGAATTTATGCTTGTTGTACTGCTTTAAGTTTACAGTTTTTTGGCTTTTTTTGAGCTACAACTTATGTAGATAGCATTCCCAGTTCATTTCTTTGGCTTGTCTTATTTTTAATTCCACGTGTCTCTATTTATATAGAAATAAATTATTGAGACCCATACTGCCATGTCTGAATAATAATTAATGTCACCACTAATTGTGGTCACATTGGTTCAGATTCATCAAATATTGCATCTTATGCTGCAGTATATTAATGACATATTAAGAGACATGGACGGTAAGCATAACAGATAATTACAAAAATAGTAAGGGATTTGATTCATTACCTGAAATTAATAGAGTTCATCATTTCTTTCTTCTTTTTAAGGTCTCTGAGTCCAGTGGCGAGTTTTTTTTCAAGCCATCTGAGTTATTTGAGAGTCCAGTCTATTTGGAGGAAGCTGCAGATGTACTTTGTATCTTACAAGCAGGTACTATCCTGAGTGTAAGATACATTTCAGATATCGTTTCTTATTAATTGATACCGGGAATGTCATGTTATTTTAAGGATCACCTAATAAAAATGTACCTTAAAAGATTAAGTTAAAAATGACTAATAGTAGGACAGTGATTAAGTAAATTATATTATTTCCATGGTATGGCATATTATGCAGCCATTAAATGGTGTATTTGAGGAAAATGTTCACAGTATGTTAAATATAAATATAAAATGCAAAGGGCAAAATGGTAAATAGAATATAATCCCAGTTTTGTTAAAAGTTAAAACAATATCCATGGGGGGAGTAAAATAAAATATTTTGTCAAAGGATGTGTAATGTATAATACAATGAACTATCACTCCTTGGTAGTAACATTGCCTTTGTTTTCTTATAGAGCTCCCTTCCCTGCTTCCTATAGTTGATGTAGCTGAAGCCTTGCTACATGTTAGAAATGGTGCCTGGTTCTTGTGTCTTTTGGTGGCCAATGTTCCTGATAGTTTTAATGAAGGTAAATTTTTTAAAAAATGGGATATTGAAGAGATTTGCTTGGGCATGTACAAGATCTATTTTTTGAGCTAAGAAGAAACATTTATGGGGTTTTATTTGAGAGTTTATCTTTTGAAAGTTTGTTAGTGAGTATTCATTGTAGAAATACTCAGTTTAGACATTCAACATTGTTTTGAGATTACAAATTTAAGTACAGTGAATATGTAGCAAGAAAATTTTTTTTGCTGTTAGTCACCAGTGCCATAATAGGACAGTAAAAAATACTGAAGAACTAGAAGATATAATCCCTACGCTCAGGGAGCAGGGAGGAGAAGACACGTGTCTGTGAGATAAGCAGAGAGCATTGTGAGATATAGGTAAGCAGAAAGACCAGCAAATCCATTGTTTTTTAGCCCTATTGCTGTCAGTTTGCGGAAAAGTATAGGGTAGAAATTGAGAAAAATCAACAAATTTTCACCTCTATTTCAAACTACTAGTGATTGAAGATTATTGTTTGGGTCTGAGTGATATAAAAATAAAAACATTTATTGAGCAAGGTAATTTGCAAATTGGGAGACAAGGAGGAAAAAGCATTGGATCTGGGCGTCGTGATTTCTGTCTTTATCACTTACTCTTTGTGTATCTCCGTCAAGATACTTAACTTCTCATCTGTAAAATGGAGGTATTGATAATATTTCCTGGGGCTGGCCTTGTGGCTGAGTGGTTAAAGTTCTGTGCACTCCGCCTCGGCGGCCCAGAGTTCGCAGGTTTGGACCACTCATCAGCCATGCTGTGGAGGCATCCCTCATACAAAGTGGAGGAAGATTGGCACAGATGTTAGTTCAGGGCAGATCTTCCTCACACACACACAAACAGATACTTCTTTTATGTTTCTAAGAGATTTATTGAATATCACATGATATGTAAAAGCCCTTTGTAAACTGTGTCCTTGCTGATTTTCTTTCTATTTATTCCACCAATTACAGACAGAGGAGTGTTGATGCCTCTGCATATAATTGTGGATTTGTCTATTTCTCCTTTCAGTTTTTCAGTTTTTGCTTCATGTATTTTGAAGCTGTTTTTGGGTCCATGTACATTTAGGATTGTTATATCTTTTTGATGAATTGAGCCTTTTTCTTTTTCATTATGAAATGTACTTTTTTATCCCTAATAATATTCCTTCTTTTGAAGTCTGCTTTATCTGATATTAATACAGCCCTATCAGTTTTTCTTACAATCAGTGTTTGCATGGTATATATACTTTTCCATCTTTTTCATCTATTTCTGTCTTCATATTTAAGGGATTTTTTTTTTTGTAAAGATTTTATTTTTCCTTTTTCTCCCAAAGCCCCTCAGTACATAGTTGTGTGTTTTTAATTGTGGGTCCTTCTAGTTGTGGCATGTGAAATGCTGCCTCATCATGGCCTGATGAGCGGTGCCATGTCTGCACCCAGGATTCAAACCAGCGAAACCCTCGGCTGCCAAAGCAGAGCGTTCGAACCTAACCACTTGGCCACAGGGCTGGCCCCTCCACTACTGTCTTATTAGCTATACTTCTTTGCTTTATTTTTTTCTTTGCTTTTATTTATTTACTTTTGGTTGTGGGGTTTATAGTATATCTCTTTAACTTATTGCAGTCGACTTTCAAATGATTTTATACCTCTCCACATACAATGTAATATACTTCTATTTCCCCCTCCTGTCCTATGTGCCATTGTTATAGATTTTATTTCTATGTGTGTAATATACCTTAGAGTACATTGTTACTACTTTTGCTTTAAACAGTTAATTATATTTTAAAGACTTTAAAAACATGAGGGAAAAGTCTATTTCTTTATCCACATTTACCATTTTTGATGCTCTTCATTGCTTTTTGTAGCTCCACATTTCCTTTTGGAATAATTTCCCTTTAGCTTGCAGAGCTTCCTTTAACATGTCTTATAGTTCAGGTTTGCTGGCAACAAATTTTCTCAGCTTTTTTTAGAAAAGTTTTGTTTTTTCCTGATAAAAACCTTATTTTGCCTTCATTTTTTTAAAGATTTTATTTTTTCCTTTTTCTCCCCAAAGCCCCCCGGTACATAGTTGTGTATTCTTCGTTGTGGGTCCTTCTAGTTGTGGCATGTGGGACGCTGCCTCAGCGTGGTCTGATGAGCAGTGCCATGTCCGCGCCCAGGATTCGAACTAACGAAACACTGGGCCGCCTGCAGCGGAGTGTGCGAACCTAACCACTCGGCCACGGGGCCAGCCCCTTGCCTTCAGTTTTGAAAGATATTTTATTTGATATAAATTTTAGGCTGACGTTTTCTTTTGGCTCTTTAAAGATGTTATTCTGTTGTCTGTGGTAATGTTTGACCTCTGTTCCTCTGTACATAATGTTTCTTTTTTTTCTCTGGCTACTTTGATTTATTTCTTTCTTCTGGCTACTTTTAAGATTTTCTCTCATAACTGGTTTTCAGAAGTTTGATTATGATGTGATTTTTCTTTGTGTGTATCCTGCTTGGAGTTTATTGAACTTCTGGGTTTATAGTTTTCATCAAATTTGGAAAAATTTCTTCAAATCTACTTTTGTTTTCAATTCCCTTTTTCTTTCTCAGACTCTAATTCTAAGTATGTTTGACTACTTGATATTGTCCCACCGGTCACTGTTCATTTTTTGGCTCTTTTCACTCTTTGCTTTATTTTGACAAGTTTTTATTGCTATGCTTTCAACTACCCTGATTCTTTCCTTTGTAGAGTCTAATCTACAGAAACAATCGATTCTCAAGGCTGAAAAAACTGTGTCTAGCATTTTACTTAGAAAGCTGAAAGTAATAGAGGCTATTAAATGTTCAGTTTGTAGGGGCCTGATCAAAAATGGAGAACGACAAGATGAAGAAAGTCTTGGAGGAAGGCGCAGGACAGATGCGTTACGCTTCTTATGTAAAATGAATCCTTCTCAGGCTCTCAAGGTCCGAGGCATGGTGGTAAGAGATCTTAGTATTTTTTGAGACAAATCCTTTATATTAGGACCAGGAACTTTTCTCAAGCTGACTTTAGAATGTTGGAGAGATTTGGAATTATAATTATGTGCTGGGTGTATTACCTTCCTCCCTGGGTTTTTATGTTTTGTGATGTGTCTTCCTCTAAACTGTAGATGTTTTAGATTCAGGAGCTTCCTGGCCCTTTTTCCCCTTCATATTGAGTGCAGTTTGTTTTCTTTGCTGTGTTAGGTGGAAGAATGTCACTTGCCAGGCCTTGGAGTGGCTTTGACATTGGATCATACTAAAAATGAAGCTAGTGAAGATGGAGTGAGTGACTTGGTTTGTTTTGTTAGTGGCTTACTTCTTGGAACAAATGCGAAAGTCCGGACTTGGTTTGGTACTTTTATCCGAAATGGACAGCAGGTAAGGGATAAATATATGTATAGGCTAAAGATCGGGATATTTTGGCAATTAGTAAGAGAGAAGAAGACACTTTTAGAATGTTGTCATTAGACCAGTGGTTCTCAAACTCAGGACCTCCTAATGTTTAAAAAAAATCATTGAGGATACCAAAGAGCTTTTGTTTATGTGCTTTTATCTACTGATATTTATCATACTAAAAATGAAACCTTAAAGTTTTGAAATATTTATTTAACTTATTTAAAAATAGCAATAAGGGCAGCCTCAGTGGCCTACTGGTTGAGTTTGGTGCACTCTACTTTGGCAGTCCGGTTTCTGGTCCTGGGAACAGACCTACACCACTCGTCTGTTGGTGGCCATGCTGTGGCAGCGGCCCACATAAAAAAGAAAAAAAGGAGGAAGATTGGCAACTGATGTTAGCTCAGGGTGAATCTTCTTCAGCAAAAAAAAAAAAAAAAAAAGTAATAACAATAACCCTATTAAATGTGAACATATTTTTTGTGAAAAATAACCATATTTTCTAAAACCAAAAAAATTTAGTGAGAAAAGTAGCATTGTTTTACAGTTTTGCAACTCTCTTTAATGTCTGGCTTAATAGAAGCCTTTGGAAAGCTTCATGTACACTTGTGAGAAAATGTGAGTAAAAAAGCCCAATAATTTCTTAGTATTATTAAGGAAATATTTTTGGTCCTCTGGACCCCCTGAAAGAGTTTTGGGAATCTCCAGGATTCTGGTTCAGACTCGTGAGACCTGCTGCATTAGGTCATCAAAATAAATTATTATAGTATGTATAATTTTAATATATATATATTTTCTATTGTGGTAAACTATGGGTAATATAAAATTTACCATTTTAATCATTTTTAAGTATACAGTTCAGTAGCAGTAAGTACATTTACAGTGTTGTGCAACTATCACCATTACCTATTTTCAGAAATTTTTCATCATCCACAGAAACTCCACACCTATTAAACAATAATTCCCTGTTTCCCCTCCCTCCCAGCCCCTGGTAACGTATATTCTACTTTCTGTCTCAATGAATCCTCCCGTTCTAGGTACCTCATATAAGTGGAATCATACAATCGTCCTCTGTTTGAGTTTGGTTTATTTTCCTTAGCATAGTGTTTTCAAGGTCCATGCATATTTTAGCGTGTATCAGAATTTCCTTCCTTTTTAAGGCTGAATAATATTCTATTGTATGTGTATGCCACATTTTATTTATCTACTAATGAATATGTATTATATTTTATGACAGTTTTTAACGTGCAAAATATTTTACTTTTTCAAAAAACGTTTCGTGGTAACTCTGAGTCGCATCCCTATGAAGGAACTAATGCAGACTTGTTGAAGTCAGTGAACTAGACGGCAGCAGCATATGTATTGCTTAGATCTTCCAGTCTATTTTTTGTGCTACTGACTCACCATGCTTTTCTATATCCAAGTTCTACTTTATTTCTAGCCCTTTTGTAAACTAATTTTAAGCTTTACTTTTTAAAAGGAAAGTAACATTTATTGTGTACCTTCTACATGTCCAACACTGTGCTAAGCACTCGGTGTGCTTGTCTTGTTTGTAATTGTCCTTTGTGTATAGTAAGCTTTTCTTATTTGAACCTAACGTTATTAAAGCAGGAACACTCTAAAAATAGTAACTAACATTTGCCTAGTCCTTTACAGTTTAGAACCACTTTCATATGTATTTTCTTTGTTCATTTATTCATCTGTTTAACAGAGATTGAGTGCTTGCTCTATGTCAGGCGCAGCGGTAGGCCTTGCCAAGTAAGAGATGACTGAGACATTATCCCTGCCTGAAGAACTGTGGGGTTGATAGATTTGTAAACTCCTAATTACAATAGTTCTAGGAGTTAATTATTATTAAGAAAATGTTCATTTTCTTATCATTAAGGAAATTGAGTTCAGAAAGGTTATCTCATGTACCTAAAAGTAATTAATTAATTAACAGCAGAGCTGTTGTTTAAACCCAAGATCTTCTGTTTCCAAAATCTAAGCACTTTTTACTATACCACATATGACTCCTTTAGTCATTATGTATTTGAAAGTGCCATTTAAATGATATTTTATAATTCACAATGTCATTAATTTAGTATTTTCTATACAACCAATCCAAATTAGGATGAATATAATATTCCTCAAATGTACCAGTGAATTCTGAGTTTGCTTGATTGGTTAAAATGAGATTCTGCAGTTACGTCGGCCTCCTCAAATGGGTCAATTTCAAGTGTTAGCTGGGGAGCTTTGAGCTTTTTGACTTAGTAAGTCCTCCATGCTTTCTTCCTTTTGTGGTCTGTATTTCCTACAGAGAAAAAGAGAGACCAGTAGTTCTGTCCTTTGGCAGATGAGAAGGCAGCTTCTTCTGGAGTTGATGGGCATTCTCCCCACAGTAAGAAGTGCCCGCATTGTGGAAGAAGCTGATGTGGAGATGGAGCCCAATGTGTCTGTGTATTCGGGGCTGAAAGAAGAGCATGTTGTGAAAGCCAGTGCACTCTTACGTCTGTACTGTGCTTTGATGGGGATCGCTGGACTCAAGTATTCAATAATTTGATATTTTACCTTTCCATCATTTTACTTTCTTGTTTCTAATCCCAAGAAAGTGAGCCAAAGGCCTTTTATTCAGAGGATTTGGGTTTTCTATTGGGCTTAAGTAGCAGACTGGCCTATATCAAGAATGAAGTCCTAAGGGAAAACATTCCTAGCTGGGATGTATCCATTTATTTTGGTCTGATTGTAAATAAAGTTATGTAAATATGGGAGGGGCGAGAGCAGTTTAAGGAACGTGTGACTTCAACACAGTTTGATATGACTATAATGAGTGATTTTTGAGTGATCCTTTACCTATCCCATGCTGCTAAGTGAAGTAAATCTCTCCTGTTTCCTTTTACAACTGAGATCATAAATTATTTAAAATTGATATGATGTGATTATTAAGCACAAGGTTTCTTATTTAGTCACTGTGCTACAGCCTTTGGAATCATGTCCTCAACTATTGTACATGCAGTCCTCATTTTGCATGTCTCCAACATGCGTGAATTTCACTTACCATGGTTTAGTTAACTAACACTGCTCCCTAAACAATTAATGCATCAGTTATCATGAAACATTAACCAAATAATTGTGTAAAGTACAAACTTTGCTGAGAACTCTTCAAACCACAAACCACTCTAAATAACAGATGCACGTCATGATCAGTGACCAATTGCATCATTTCTTTTAAAGTGTTGGCAGCTGGTCACTGCACATTATTACTTGGTTCACAAACATATCGTCTCCTTGTCTCAATGATAAACCCATGTGACATTTTACAAAAATGGATAATTGAAAGAAGGAATTGGCCAATAAAGATGAAAATGTAACACAGAAACAAAAATGGTAACACTGGAAGTGACATTTGAACCAAATGTAAGTAGAAGAAATAACTGACTGTGAGAATGTTGACACTGCTGCCATTTGAAAGACCCTTGAAATATAACCAAGTGAACTTAGTGAAGGCAAATTTGTCAACATAAATGAGAAAAGTCATTGTGACAAAAAGGATGAAGTTCCAGAGGAAGTGATGCTGGCAAAAGTCTTCACAGTGAAAGAACTCTCAGCTATTTCGTGACTGAAAGTGCAAAGGATGGAATGTTGGAAGCTGATCCAAACTTACAAGAGGGTGTGACAATTCCTCAAGGCTTAGAAAAGATGCTCACTCCATATAAGTTATACAGTGAGAAGAAAGCAAGGGCTATTCTAACTACTCTTGATACATTTTTTACAAAGAAAACACTTTAATTCCTAATGTTTCCGATATTTTCAATTATAGAGTGCTATATAAATACCAGTTTTACTGTTTTTAAAAATTTCTCTATGCATTATAACCAACAGAGTTTTTAATGTTTTGATATAAAATTTTCTTAAAAGAGATGCAACAGTTTGTAATTTTCCCCGTTGATTATTAAGATCGTGACACACAGTTTCAGCTTGCATGGTTATTTTTGTGGTCCCATACTACCATGCAAAATGAAGACTGCCTGTATTTGTGTCTGAGGAAAAACGCTGGTTGTAAACTCAACAGTTTTGCTTTTGACAAGTTAAGATGTTAAAAATTTTATAGTGAGGTAACATAAAGCTCAAAATTTGTATCTGAAAGATTCTACTGTTGGAAAGTCATTTTTTCTTTCTCCCTGTCTCAACTAAAAAAACGATAAAGCCTAATAATGTAATTCTTTTTAGACCAACAGAGGAAGAAGCCGAACAGTTGCTGCAGTTGATGACAAGTCGTCCTCCTGCTACACCGGCTGGGGTTCGCTTCGTTTCCCTTTCCTTTTGTATGCTGCTGGCCTTTTCTACACTTGTCAGGTACCTTACTACGTGAATAAGGTGCTCCACTTTCTCACGGTCTGGTTTTGTTTATTTATTAAAACACATGTATAGCATTCCTTAAGAGCTTACTATAAAAATTGTCTAGGTTTGGACAGTGGTAATATCTTTCAGTAAAAGGGTGTCAGTAGCACCTACTATATGTCAGTCATTTTTTATCTTTATAAAAGTTTCATGTGCATGTTGATTGAAGGGGTCATAATTATTTATCAAGATTTCTTAAGGCAAATAGCAGTCCTTAACTCCCCTCATCCCTGTTCCCCCTTCCCTAGAGGCAACTTCTTTCAGTTCTTTTAGCTGATTCTTTTGTTTTTTACTAGCACATCTTTAAATAACATGTTTATATTTGCTACATCTTGATTTTTCAATTTTAGGAGTATTCATTGACTTCCCACTGTGAAAGATGAGGAATGAGTTCTCTTTTTTCTCCTTCCCCAATACATCTACGTATCCTCCTGTCCTGCCCTTCTCGCAGTACAGTTGTATTATAATTTAGCTTTGATCAATATATAATCATTTACATTACACTATTGGGAGCTCAGCCATGTAGTAGATGATTGCTTTTCTTCTGCAAAACTTGTGTTTTGCATTAATAATTATCCTGTGGTTTTCTTTGTTCTTCACCTGCTTGGTTGTTTTCCACTTGCTTGGTGTTCTGTGTACTTAAGGTTAATGCAGACCCAAACTCTCTGCTAATCCAGATTTCTTCTGGAGATGTTCAGACTCATTAAATATTCTGTCAATTTAATTTTCTGAGGAAGTCTCTCCTGGAGCATTTTGACCTGCTCCAATCTGAACTGATTACCTCTGCCCCTGGTCCACAGCTTTCATCCTGCAATTGCTCTTCACTATCATTTTGGGAGTTTACTTCCTCTCTTCTCTTTTGGATTGCCTATTTCTATTTCTTTCTTTCTTTCTTTTTTTTGCTGAGGGAGATTCACCCTGAGCTAACATCTGTTGCTAATCATCTTCTTTTTGTATGTGAGCCACTGCCACAGCATGGCTATTGGCAGACGAGTGGTGTAGGTCTGTGTCTGGGAACCTGGGCTGCTAAAGTGCAGTGCGCCAAACTTAACCACTAGGCCACCAGGGCTGCCTGGGATCTCCTGTTTCTTGCAACTCATTGTCTTCATCTTTTTTCATTTGCTCCCTAATTTTGCTGCTGCTTTTTTTTTTCCTTCCCCGAAGCCCCGGTACGTAGTCATATATCCCAGTTGTAGGTCATTCCAGTTCTATGTGGGATGCTGGCACAGTATGGCTTGATGAGCGGTGTGTAGGTCTGTGCCCAGGATCCAAACTGGCGAACCCTGGGCCGCCAAAGTGGAGTGTGCAAGCCCAACCACTCGTCCACGGGGCCAGCCGCCTCATTTTGCTTCTTTAAAATGGGTATATGGGAGGTAAATTATTTTGAGACTGAGTATTTCTGAGAATGTCTTTATTCTACTTGGACACTTGATTGATAGTTCGATGGGACATAGAATCCTAAATTGGAAATAATTTCCTTTGACAGTTGGGGATGCTTACCACTGTACTAACGAGGAGAGCAAGAAATAATTTCCTTTGAGAACTTTGAAAGTCTTGTTCCATTGTCTTTTAACTTTCAGTATTGCTGTTGAGAAGTCTGATGACATTCTGTTACTGGGTCCTTTGTGTGGCCTGTTTTTTTTTCTTTAATAGAAACATATAGGATTAGCTTTTTGTCCCTAGGGTTTTGAAATTTTTAGATGATATGCCATGGTGTGAGTCTGGTTTTGTCTATTGTCCTAGGTATTCCGTGAGCCCTGTCAACCTGGGAATTCATATGCTTCAATTACTGGAAATTTTCTTGAACTAATTTGTTGGTCAGTGTCTTCCACATGGGTTTTCTGTCTAAAACCTCCTTTTATTTGGATTTTGGACTTCCTGAAACAATGATCTTATTTTCTTATCCTTTTGTATTTTCCTTATCTTTGTCTTGTTTTGCTTTTTAAAATTTTTAAATTTTTCCTTCTTCTCCCCACAGCCCCTCAGTACATAGTTGTGTATTTTAGTTGTGGGTCCTTCTAGTTGTGGCATGTGGGACGCCACCTCAGCATGGCCTGACGAGTGGTGCCATGTCCTTGCCCAGGATCCAAACCCTGGGCCACCAAAGTGGAGCATGCGAACTTAACCACTGAGCCATGGGGCCAGGCCCTGAAGGGGTTTTATTTGTACTGTTTCTTTGTTTCTGCCTTTTTTTGTTTCTTTTTTTGAAATTAGAAGCGCTTTTTTTTTGGGTTTAATAATTCTTGTCTGTTCATATTTAAGAGTAGGAAACTAAAAGGCAGATTAGAACCTCTAAATGCACAGATGAGTCTTTGGGGAAACTCCTGGGCTTATCAGAGTCTTAGAGAAGACTGTTGTCTTGCCTGGAGGGTGAAGGCCTGACAAAAAACCCATAAGCAAAGTTAAAAAGTGAGGGTTGAAGGTTGGGCGATCTCAGCCTGCAGTATAATTATTGACTTAATTCTCCTGCTTTCAGAATGGTGCTCCAGATATCCCTGGTTGTCCCTCAGTTCAGAGACACACTCTTTTACCATCTGCAGAGAATAAATCTCCAGTCTCTCTACTAGGGGACAAATACTTATCTATTTGTGTGGAATGGAGGAGGTGATTTGGAGGTCTGCTACTTCAACAGACTATCAGCCTTTTTGAGTTAGTCTGTCTTCACTCTCACTCCCAGAGCTGCCTGGAATTGTCAGTTCTTGAGTCCTTTGGGAATTCTGTGCTATAAAGTGGATTGGCTTTACCTCCTGCCAGTTTAGTATTCTGCTTTCTCAGGTTGGCTAAGTCAGTTACCACTCATCTATATGACTGGACTCGAGCGTCCAGTGTTTTATGTTGTCTCTTGTCATCATCCTACGCATTTATGCTTTTTAAGAAAATCCCTTTGATGTAGTTGGAATGGAGTTTCAGGAGGGTGTGAAATTACGTGAAATGAAGTGCTTTCTTTTCTCTTTACCTGAAGCAATTTCTATATATTATCTCTAATACTGATTACTTCTATAAGATAGGTGGTTTTTACCTGTGTTTTATAGGCAGTAGAGCTAAGTTCAGAAAGATTACTTAAATTTCTCGTTCAAGGTCACGTTGCCAGTAATTAGCAGAGACGGGATCCGCTCAGGTCTGGCAGGCTCTAAAGGCTATAATCTTTCTACTACGTAAGTCTGTCTTTTATTAGTGGAGTGATTTAGGTATGGTTGAGAATGGCCTTTTTAATTTTCTTAGCTTGGGATAGCAGACTTTTCAGTTGCTTTTTGTTTTACCCATTTACACTGCAATGAAGTAGAAGGAGATCAATGAAAATTATTTTCACAAGTCAAAGTTGACTTGTACCTTTCAAACAAAATCTAGGAATTCCCCTTAAAAAAGTCATTGTTGTTGGTATATTTTTATAAGTATTTTTCATATCTGATGAGCCCATGGCTGTCTTTTCTCTTTCTTTTTGAATAGTGATTGCTTATTTCTCTACAGTTTTGAGTTATGCTCAAAATGTTTCTATAAATTAAATTCCATTTTTCAGGTAAAAGATGGAATAACTAGTTACTGTTCTGTAACTCAGTTTGTGACTTTTTGGTGATTAAGTTTTAACATCAGATTTTTTTTCTATATGAAATAATTATGAGCTGTTAATATTGTTCTAACATTTTAATCCCTAATTTAATTTAAACAATTTAATCCCTAATTTAATTCTTTGCTTTTCCGAGAAATGTGAGGAGGTTTACTTTCTCCAGCTTACAAACGCAGTAACTAAGACTGAGAGGGTGTGGCTGTTTACACTCATGATGAAAAGCAGAGGTCCTCATTCTTATCTCTAGGACTACTTTATATCTCAATAACAATTAATGGCCAATTCAGCAAGCAATTAATTTGAATTGATATTTCAAAATAGGAAAGGAAAAAATTTCTACCAAAAATAATTCCAGAATGGTCTTTTTTCTTATGCTAGTATATCTGATTTAAACTGGTGACATTTCTGATATGTTCTCTATAGTACACCTGAACAGGAGCAGCTAATGGTAGTGTGGCTAAGTTGGATGATAAAAGAAGAAGCTTATTTTGAGAGGTAAGGTGACTTTATTTGTTTCAGTTAGCTAAGTAAGTTTTTCTTATCCTCTCTTTGGAAACTCATATTTTCGTTTCTGTTTCAACAGTACTTCGGGCGTCTCTGCTTCTTTTGGGGAGATGTTGTTATTGGTCGCCATGTATTTTCATAGCAACCAACTTAGTGCTATCATTGACTTGGTCTGTTCTACTTTGGGGATGAAGGTAATTTTTATTTTAATCTTCTTTCTAAAGAAGTTGTTTCTAAGCTGGGCATTTTCTTGTAGTATAAAGTAAATAGATAGTTTTCATTTTGAAGTAATTTTAGTTGTTTAATAGGTTGAAATTTTATCAGGAGCTCTTAGAAAAAAATATATTATGAAAACCTTTATTTACAAGAATAATAGGTGTTCAATGTAGAAAGCTTGGAAAACACAGAAAAGAAGGGAAAAATATAATTCCATTGTTCATGTATATCAGGTATATCAATTCCATTGTTAACATCTGGTGTCTGTTCTTTCTTTAAATTGATGTACATATTTTGTAATTTTAAAGAACTTCTACCAATATGTGATGAACATTTCTTAATATCAATAAATATTCTAATACAATATAATTATTAATGGCTGCATATTAGTCCATCATATGGATCGATCATGACTTTCTTAATGGATCTCTTCTTATTTGCTATGTAGATTTTCCAATTTCTGAATAATGCTTAGATGAATATCATTATTTATGTAAATATACACACACACACTCACACATGTATGTCTTCAAACACCTTTTGGATTATTTCCTTAAGATAAAGTTCTAGAAAACAGTTAGTAAGTAAAAGAATATGATGATGTTAAGGTGTTTAGTGAGTATTGCCAGATTATCTCCCAGAAAGCTTATACCAGTTTAGCTGTTCGATTTGTGAATGAGAGTGCCTATTTTCCTCAACTCTCACTATCACCAGGCATTACCATTCTTTTTAATCTTTGCAAATTTGATTGATGAAAAAAGATCTCACTTATTTTGCATTTCTTTGATTACTAGTGGACCTGTGGTTTTTATTATTATTTTTTTTATAGTTGTAGTTTATAGTGTTTTTTTTGGGTAGTTTTTAAAATGTGTGTGTTTTGGCTGGTATAATTCTTTTGTGAAAGGCTTATCAATGTCCCAGTTTTTTAGTAGGGATTTTTATTGATTTATCTTCCCTTTCACTGATTCAAAATCTTTATATATAAATGATATGTGACTATGACTCATATATTTCATTGATTTTAAGACATATTTTACCCAATATTGAAATTGGGATTCATTTTACAGTTCAGATGTGAAGTGTTAATGTGGTAGTGTTCCCCTCTTTTTTTCTTGAAAGCTACAATTAAATCAGTAATGTATTTTATAATCCTTAGTGTCTTTTTTTTTTCTTTTTTTGGTGAGGAAGATTGGCCCTGAGCTAACATCTGTTGCCAATCTTTCATGTTTTATTTTTTCCAAAGGCCCAGTACATAGTTGTATATCCTAGTTTTAAGTCCTTCTAGTTCTTCTGTGTGGATGCTGCCACAGCATTGGCTTGATGAGCAGTGTGTAGGTCCACGCCCAGGATCCAAACTGGCGAACTCTGGGCTGCCAAATCAGAGCATGCAAACTTAACCACTATGCCACCAGGCAAGCCCCCTTAGTGTCTTTAAAAGTACAATAGCTTGCAGTTGATTTTTCCCAGTCTGTTTTGCCATGTGGAAATTATTGTTTCTGTGTGTAATATATTAAGTGTTTCTCTTGTGTTTCTCACTTTGCTGTTATGCTTAGAAATGTTTTTCTTTCCTCAGGTCTGTACAAATGGTCACCTATATTTTCTTCTAGTATTTTGTGGCTTCATGTTTTAAATTTAAATCTTGAATACATTTGGAGATCATTGTGGATATAGTGTCTTGTGAGCAGATCTCTCTCTATATGTATACATATTCCCCAGAAAGGGAGCTATCTCCCCTTCATTTATTGAATAATCCACTTCTTCCCACTGACTTGAAATGCCAATAAGAGTATTTACTTTGTACTTTTATCTGTTGTTTCTGTTTCTGAAGAAAAACACACTTTAATGTTGGATTTGAGAAGCCGCTTATGAAATAGAGTATTTGAATATTAATTTTATACATTACAGTCATTTTAGATAATAAATTTAGCAGAGAAAATTGTGCTTCATATTATGATATTTTCATGTGCTGTTGGAATTCTTTTGATTGTTTTAGATTGTCATTAAGCCAAGCTCCTTGAGCAGGATGAAGACTATCTTCACACAGGAAATTTTTACTGAGCAGGTACTTCTTTTAAATTTATTCTCAGGTACTTCTTTAACTTTCTTTTACAGGATTCTTTGGGGGGAAACTTGTATATCTCAGTTTAAGAGAATAATTTGGTCTTTTTGTATTCCTTTTTAGTTTTCAATGATGATTTATTTAATCTTTGAAACTTCTATAAAGAATAATCCCATTTAAAATTTACTTTTAAAGCTTCTTACTACGAGCAAAATAAGGTTTTAAATTTATGTATTTTGGAGACTTTGAGTAGATGCTTAAAAGTATAGTGTTAGATCTGATGGCAGGGATCTTACATGAGGTAATCGTTTGCGTTTGTCAGGAGAAAAATGAAAGAGACCTATTTAAACCTTTAGGCTGTAAGGTTCATTTCTAACTAGATTATAAACTAGAGTCTAAATTCCTTATTCTTGTTTTTACATATTCTCATTTGGCCTCAGCACCTTTGTCTGTGGGTAATCCTAAGGATATTTTATTTTTTCGGTGAAGGAGACCATTCTAAAATTTAAAATTAATTGCCAGAATCATTTGCCAATTTACATCTCAGAACACAAAACATATGTGTGTCTTGGGGCTGGCTCAGTGGTGTAGTGGTTGAGTTTGTGTGCTTCGCTTTGGCGACCCAGGGTTCGTGGGTTCAGATCCCAGGAGCGGACCTACACACCACTCATCAAGCCATGCTGTAGCAGCATCCTACATACAAAAAATAGAGGAGGATTGGCATGGATCTTAGCTCGGGGCCAATCTTCTTCACCAAAAAATATAGATATGTCTTAAAAAATGAAATATTTGAAAATTCTCATGGGTCCCTAACTGTTGCTTCTGTTAGGGTAATTGATATTCTCATCCGTATACCAAACTCTCCCTTCTCCCCTCAGTGCACATATACTCCCATGTAACAGTCACATATAGGACAGAGGAAACCCATAAGTTATTTTTTATGTGTTTAATTTGAACTGACTGGAAGACAACTTTGGGGACGGTCTTTGAAAGACAGTTAGTGGTCAATGTATGACACAATAAGAACAATAAAAATTCCTACTTATATTTGTGTGATACTTTATAATTTACATATGTTTTTCAAAAAAAACTTTTTCCCCCTCACAAAAACCTTTTGAGGCAGGTAAGACAGTGTCGTGCCATTTTGTAGATGTGAAAATACAAAGGAGCCTCAAAGGATAAAATGACTTACCCAAAGTCACTGAACCCAGGTTTTATGATTCCAAATTTTATGTTATTTTTACCTTACTCTACCGCTGTCAGCATATCTGTATTTAAAAACAAAAAAAAATTAGAGAACTTTGCAAATCCCTAAATGTATGCTACCTCATCATTCAAAAATAATTAAATCATGTAACAACTTGTTTTTATCATTCATTCCTAAGGACCTCACTTGTATTAACTATTGACAGTCTACCTGCTAATCCTCCCTCTTTCAGAATAATTTTATGTCTGTTCTGTTGTGTATATTAATACTGTTTTTCCCTTTTAGGTTGTCACAGCTCATGCAGTTCGGGTTCCTGTGACCAGCAACCTGAGTGCCAACATTACTGGATTTTTGCCTATTCATTGTATTTACCAGCTTCTCAGGAGTCGTTCCTTTACCAAGCACAAAGTGTCCATAAAAGTATGCCCATACATTTATATTTCAAGCTACAACCTAAGTTAATGTTCTTTTCCCAGTTCTGTGTCAGTTTGTAGGTCTTTACGTGAGTTTTGTGTATGAAATGTGTCTAGTTACTAGTCATTTATATAATTACAGTAATGAGGAACTTAATTTCAGGTTTTTTAAACAATGGAACTGTTAAGTTATTTACGAAATGTACACTATTACTAATCCATTTAAATTCTCAATAATAGCATATGGCTATTTCAGTAACCCTTAGTAAGAAATTGCCATTTTCTATACTTGAGTTTTGTTCATCAAACTGAGAAAGTTGCTGGTCAGCCATGACCAGCGTTTGTACACTTGTCACAAGGACACCTAAAACCTAACATGCATGTTTTGATATGTTTTCAATGGTTATGGTTGACTATATCCAACAGTGAAAAGATTCTCCAAGGAAAATGCTGACTCCCAGGAGGTAAAGAAATCTGTTCAGACCTTTTCTAGAGGCTCCTTTATTTATAAAGAACAGTGAACACTGTATGCATTCATTTTTCACTTTCAGTTAACTTGTTTTTATGATTTAGTGAAGTTATTTTCCAGCTAGATTATATCTCCTGTTTTTTTAATATTTTTGGAAAGTGAAACGGGTAAGAATTGAATCCAGATGCACAGCCATCATTGCTACATGTCCTCTCTCCTTGGAGATAAAGTGATGGTCTCCCATGCGTGATTGTCAAAGCCTCTTTCTTAATCTCTCTGAGGGTTTGCTGTGAAGAGCTATCCCTCTCCCTAAATTCCTCTCTGCTGTGCAGTCTTCTGCGACAACACATATTGTGCTCTAAATACACATATACTGGGACTTAAAGTGTTTTTCTCACTACTTAAAAAATAATAGATTAAAAACCCAAAGTCCAAACTCAAAACCCAAGCTCATCATTTTAGGTTATCTTCCACTAGACAATATTCTCGATTAGGATATAAAAGTAGTTTGTATTTTTAAATAAAAAAAAATTGTAAAACAGGATAATATATTTGTAACTGCTAAAAGTTAACAGTGAGTTTCACTGATTCATAAATCATGTAAAATTGTATGTGCTTTAAAAATTTCACTTGCTTTTTCTTATTGCCACAGTTGATTTGGTGCCTATAACCTTCTTTTTTAGGACTGGATTTATAGACAGCTGTGTGAAACCTCCACTCCACTCCATCCTCAGTTACTTCCTCTGATTGACGTGTACATAAATTCTATACTTACTCCTGCATCCAAATCTAATCCAGAAGCCACAAATCAGCCAGTCACAGAACAGGAGATACTCAATATTTTCCAAGGAGTCATTGGGGTAAAGTAGTGATTCTTGTATATTTATTAGCTTATTTTTCTTTTAGTTTATTCTTCTGACTTATTCCATATTTTTTTCTTGATTATTAGAGGATTTCTGTGTGGTTCTGGATTTAAAATGGGATTAAATTTCTTTAGATCACTTATAAAAATTAAGCGAATGATATTAATTCCGAGTGGTTTGTCACATAGGCACTTTTTGAGGAATTCTTTTAAAAGCTCCATTTTAAAAGTCTAAGGAGTGCCCTGGAGATTGTTTTTAACCAAGGACTATGTGACATTTCAGCACAAGTTTGTTTAGCTTCCTGAGACTCTAAGATATACCTAGATTCGTTAATGGAAAATTTGGAGAAAATCTTTTTCTCCACTTTTTTAGAAGGAAAAAATAGTTGCATTTTCCACAAATATATTTAAACGTTTGTTGTTGATAGTGCCTCTGAGTCAATTCCAGCTTCTAGTGACCCTGCATACATCAGGGCAGAACCATGCCCGGTCGGTTTTCTGCCATCCTCTCACCTTCCAGTGCTCTATCAGACAATGTTCTGCTGCTGTTCCTACGGTTTTCATGGCCAATTGTTTTGGAAGTGAGTGGCCAGCTTCTTCCTAGTCTGTCAGTCTGGAAGCTCTGTTGAAACCTGTCCACCATGGGTGACCTTTCTGGTATTTGAAATACTAGCGGCATAGCTTTCAGCATCACAGTAACACACAGCCGCCACGGTACGACAACCAACAAATGGGTAGTGTGGTTGGTTCCCTGACAGGGAAACGAACCCCAGCCATGGCGATGAGAGTGCCGAATGTTAACCACTAGACCACCAGGGCTGGCTCTATCTACATGTTTAAATGTACAATATCTTTTTTAGGAGTTATTTTCTTCACGCTAGTTTCAGATAATACTTGAGACTCATAAGCTTTTTTCAGAAGCAGCTTGATGGTATTGCTGTTGAGTAATAGCTGAAGTCTTTTTTTCCCTATCTTAGAGACTATTAAGCATGTCGTCTTTCATCTCCCACACCATCTCAGATTTACTTTAAACTTCAAGTTCTCTCTTTGAGTTTAATGCAAACATAGCAATGTTTCTCCTGTTTTATCTGAGCTTGGGAGCAGCAACACTGAATAGTCCATTTTGAATGCTTTTACCATCAAAAAAGCACTCATGAAATTTAAAAATATTTTAAAGTCTTTATTATATTACCTCCAGGGAGACAATATCCGCCTTAATCAGCGTTTCAGTATCACAGCACAGCTTTTGGTGCTTTACTATATTCTGTCTTACGAAGAAGCTCTCCTAGCAAACACAAAGACTTTAGGTAAGTTGTACATAGAGGAGTGTTTCTAGTGATACTTTGTTTTATTTGCTTATGTTTTCTTACTTTCCAAGCTGTTAGATGAGAAAATAAGGTCAAATATTCTAACAAGCTCCTGCATCATTCTATAGTCCTTGCCATGTAGGCATTGTATACTCTGATGTATAAATACGTGTATGTGTGGGTATATAACCACCCCTTAGGGCTCAGTCTTCCTTTTAGCAGGCTAAATTAATAGATAACTGAATTGCCTATATTTTAACAATTTTAGTGACCTTATTAACTAAATATAAATTGAGATAAGCGAAGGAACTGTAACTGAAATATTTTTGCTTAATTTCAATCTTTCCTTTGTCTTCCATTAGTGTGAAAAATCTAATCAAAAGTAATAGGAAAAAACAATAAAAGAGTATCCTTTTGCTATTAAAATTATCACTGAACTGGGCTTTCAAACTTAGCTACTTTGTATAATATCAGAAGGTCCAATTTAGCATAGAAGATCAGTATAAAGTAGTGTGTTTTCCTACGTACTTTAAAAAGAAAATTCACCTGTATTTTAGGTTTGCTAAATGTATGTAGTTCCGTATTTGAAACAAAAAGAGTGTCATTAAAAAGTTGTAGGCATTGAGTGTATAACACAGGGGTAATTCTTGTAAGGATGGTTGTTTTGCCACAGTTGAATGATTTTATTTTTTTAAAGCTATAAATTTAAAGTTACTTTTCAATGTTTGGCAGATCAACTTCTTTTATTTATCTGAAGTATTGTGTTTTAAATATACTGTGAATTTCTCACCTGGTCTCTTTCCTGACTGTAGTTGTTAGGGTTATGCAGATGATATCACATAACTTTAATTATAGTCTTTGTCATATTAGAGACAAGGTGGGCTAATAATAAGCATTAGATAATAGCCTTCCACTTTTATCCATATGTGACAAATTCTACTAAGGCATATGATACTTGTGATTTAATAAATAGATAGTAGAGGAATGAGTTACAAGGAGATGTTCTAGAGGAGAACTCAGACCACTAATACTATAGCAGGGGACCAAGATACACTCTTAGTTTGTATTTAATGTCTGGCAAAAAATTTTCTTTAATACATAAAAATACAGAGGATAGTATAGCCAACTCTTATGTACATACCCTGCAGAATTAGCAAGTCACTCAATTTTCAGGACTGGAGGAATCTTTAAAGATTATGTAGTCTAGTCCCCAATGACATGCTCAGTTCAACCCAGTGTTCCTGTGAAGCTGTTGTTCTTTATGCAACACTCTGATGGATCTCAATTGGAAAGTTAAGGATTTTAGGTTAGGAGTACAACTCAGGCTGGATTGAGTCTTGGTAAAGGAACTGGGGGATTAGAAGAAAGTTAGTAGGTTTTTATAAGATTCTGGGCAAAAGGTGGTGGTAGTTTGGACTGGTAGCAGTGTATATGTATTTTGAAGATAGAGTTGAGAGATTTTGCTGATGCATTCATGAGGTTTGAGCGACGGGAGCCAAGGTCGATGTGGAGGCTTTTGGCCTGAACCTAAAGGACAGAATGGCTATCAACTGCAATAAAAGAGCTTGGAGGAGAAGCAGGTTTGTGGGGGATCAGGAGCTCAGTTGTGGACACGTTAAGTTTGAGCTGTCTGATAGACTTTCAAGTGGGGATGTTAAGGAGACAGTTCATGTTGGGCCGGGAATTCAGGGGAGATATCTGGACTGAAGCTTTGAGGTTCTTTGGCATATAAATGATACTTAAAATCATGACATTAAATAAGACCACCAAGAGAGGGAGTGTGGGAGGAGGATGTGATCTCCTGGATGCCAAGGGAAGAGTGTTTCAAAGAGGAGAGAGTGATCAGTCAAATGATATTGATAGATCAAGTAAGATTAGGACTGAGGCTCAGCTGATGACTGTATATAGCTCGCTGGAGGTCATTTGAACTTTACAGTTTCACTGGTAAAGTGGTAGGATGGAAGCCTGACTGTAGTGAATTCAAAAGAAAATTAGAGGAGGTATACTGGAGACAATGAGTAGAGACAGCCGTTTTGAGGAGTTGTGAAGAGAAGAAGAACAATGAATGTGGTAATTGGAAAGGAAAATGGGGTCAGGAGAGGATTTTTTTTTTTTTTTTTAAATATTCTTGACTTTTTTTTTTTTTTTTTTTTTTTTTTTTAAAGATTTTATTTTTTCCTTTTTATCCCCAAAGCCCCCCGGTACGTAGTTGTGTATTCTTCGTTGTGGGTTCTTCTAGTGGTGGCATGTGGGACGCTGCCTCAGCGTGGTCTGATGAGCAGTGCCATGTCCGCGCCCAGGATTCGAACTAACGAAACACTGGGCCGCCTGCAGCGGAGCGCGCAAACTTAACCACTCGGCCACGGGGCCAGCCCCAGGAGAGGATTTTTTTTAAAGTGAAAGAGATAAGAGAATGTTTGCATGCTGTTGGGAGTAATCTAGTAGAGACGGAAGGTTGATGATGCTGATCCTGGAGTGACGTCCTTGGTAGGTGAGAGGAGATGGGATGTGGAAGACAAATGGAGGGATTGGCCTTTCGTTGGAGAATTTTTTCCTCTGGTTCAGGAGAGTTTTTTTCTAGTCTAGTCTCATCTCCAAGGGGAACAAATAACTGCAGAATATGTCACACCGTGAGAGAATTTTGCTCTTTGATGGCCAAAAAGATAATTCTGCCTTAAATTTATTACTACCTGTGAAGCTGTGTTGTAGTTTCAGTACCTTGTTAACTGTGCTCTGGTTTTGACCCTGTATATAGGCATGGTTATTTCTCTCCTTAGGATAGATTCCTGAATATAGAACTACTAAGACAAAGATTTTGGAAAATTAGGAGATTTAAAAAATGCATCGCCATATTGCCTTCCAAATAGGTTATAGCATTATAGAATCCCTCATTTGTATAGAATGTGAATGCCAGTTTTTTACAAAATTGAGTGTTATCATTTGTTTATGGTGTTGTTTAATTATTGAATTTTATAGGGAGGAAAATCTTTCAAAGCAAGATACTAGCATTATATAACTAATCGCCTGTATTTTCTTTTAGGACATTATTATTTCATTTTTAAAATTTAAGTGTACCTTTAATTAATTTTGGTGTAAAGTATCCAATTTTATTTTTTAATAATCAGTCATTTGTTAACATTATGTAGTGAATAATCTATCATTTTCCTATTACTTTAGAAGGTTGCTTTGAGGTATATCGAAGTTTTATTACAAACCTGTGTCTGTTTTTGGATTTTCTTTTTTATCTCAGACATTTCCAGTACCTTTCTTGTTCAATATTTCTGTCTACTCTCACATATATAATCTTTAACATGAACTTTGTAATAATTTTCTCAAATTGCATAGAGGAAGATTATACTGGGATTTTAATCAGAATTATGTTAAACTTATAGATTAATTTGGAGAGAATTTACATCTTTACAATATTGTCTTCCCATCTAGAAATATGAAATAATTTTTTCTTTTTAATTATTAAAATGTAAGCTTCCTGGAGGCTAATTTTTGTCTTTTTTTTTTGCTGCCATATCTAGCATTTAGAATTTTACTTGATACATAGTAGGCACTTAATCACTGTTTTTTGAATGAGTAAATTTATTCAAGTTATTTTTTGTCTGTCAATAAAATTTTACTTTGTATAGGATCTGTACAATGTTCTCCTAACAAGTTATCACTCATCATAGGAAACGTATTGACATTTAGTTTGGAGTAGTCAAGCTCTGAATTTCTTAGAGTATCATTTAAAAAATTATTTTTTTATTGAGTTAATGATAGGTTACAATCTTGTGTAATTTCACTTGTACATTAATGTTTGTCATTTGTGTTGTAGGTGCACCACTTCACCCTTTGTGCCCACCCCCCACCCCACCTTTCCCCTGGTAGCCACTAAACTGTTCTCTTAGTCCACATTTTTAAATTCCTCATATGAGTGGAGTCATACACAGATGATCCTTCTCTAGCTGGCTTATTTCACTTAACATAATTCCCTCAAGGTCCATCCACGTTATTGCAAATGGGATGATTTTGTTCTGTTTTGCAGCTGAGTAGTATTCCATTGTATATATGTACCACATCTTCTTTATCCATTCATCTGTTGATGGGCACTTAGCTTGCTTCCATGTCTTGGCTATTGTAAATAATGCTGCAATGAACATTGGGGTACATAGGACTTTTGGGATTGCTGACTTCAAGCTCTTTGGATAGATACCCAGTAGTGGGATGGCTGGATCGTATGGTAGTTCTATTTTTAATTTTTTTTTTTTTTTAAAGATTTTATTTTTTTCCTTTTTCTCCCCAAAGCCCCCCAGTACGTAGTTGTGTATTCTTTGTTGTGGGTTCCTCCAGTTGTGGCATGTGGGACGCCGCCTCAGAGTGGTCTGACGAGCAGTGCCATGTCCGTGCCCAGGATTCGAACCGATGAAACACTGGGCCGCCTGCAGCGGAGCGCGCGAACTTAACCACTCGGCCACGGGGCCAGCCCCTCTATTTTTAATTTTTTGAGGAATCGCCATACTATTTTCCATAGTGGCTGCACCAGTTTGCATTCCCACCAGCAGTGTATGAGGCTTCCTTTTTCTCCACAACCTCTCCAACGTTTGTTACTATTAGTTTTAGATATTTTTGTCATTCTAATGGGTGTAAGGTGATATCTTAGTGTAGTTTTGATTTGCATTTCCCTGATGATCAGCGATGATGAGCATCTTTTCATATGCCTATTGGCCATCCGTATATCTTCTTTGGAGAAATGTCTGTTCATGTCTCCAGCCCATTTTTTGATTGGGTGGTTTGATTTTTTGTTGTTGAGTTGTGAGAGTTCTTTATATATTATGGATATTAAGCCTTTGTCAGATATATGACTTGCAAATATTTTTTCCCAGTTAGTGGGTTGTTTTTTTGTTTCAATCCTATTTTCATTTGCCTTGAAGAAGCTCTTTAGTCTGATGAAGTCCCATTTGTTTATTCTTTCTATTGTTTCCCTTCTCTGAGAAGACATGGTGTCTGAAAAGATCCTTTTAATTCTGATGTCAAAGAGTGTAAATGCTTTTTTGGGAATTATTGAGATAAATTGGCCTATTTATATGATTCATTGTATAATTACTATGTTTATATTCCTGGAATGACCCCTACTTGCTCTTGGTGTATTATTCTTTTAGTATGGTGCTAGATTTGATTTGCTTGGTTTTTTTTTTTTTTTTTGAGGAAGATTAGCCCTGAGCTAACTGCTGCCAATCCTCCTCTTTTTGCTGAGGAAGCCTGGTCCTGAGCTAACATCCATGCCCATCTTCCTCTGCTTTATGTGTGGAATACCTGCCACAGCGTGGCTTTTGCCAAGCGGTGCCATGTCTGCACCTGGGATCCGAACCGGTGAATCCCGGGCTGCCGAAGCGGAACGCGTGAATTTAACTGCTGCGCCTCTGGGCCAGCCCCCTTGGTTTTTTTTTAATACAATTTTTTTCCTATCTCTGTTTAAACAAGTGAAATTTGCCTTTTTTCCTTTTCTTTTTCTTTTCCTTTCTTCTTTCTTCCTTTCTTCAAGGCTTTGGTATCAAGTTAATGCTAATTTCATAAGTGAATTCATTTTCTATAGGATTTTTTTTTTTTAAAGATTTTATTTTTTTCCCTTTTTCTCCCCAAAGCCCCCCAGTACATAGTTGTATATTCTTCGTTGTGGGTCCTTCTAGTTGTGGCGTGTGGGATGCTGCCTCAGCGTGGCTTGATGAGCAGTGCCATGTCCGCGCACAGGATTCGAACCAACGAAACACTGGGCCGCCTGCAGCGGAGCACGCAAACTTAACCACTTGGCCACGGGGCCAGCCCCATCTATAGGATATTTTTAAGGATTAAAATGTCACAAAGACTAGGGGCAATGCAAACAGTATTCAAAACATTTCTACAGGTTTATTGAGGATGAAGTTAAATGTTAAATTTGAATCTTTGAAAACCATACATTGCAAGAAATCTGGAAATGTAATTGCTCATGTTGTATATATGAAACAAATGATCTTCTCATATACCCTTCATAGTCTTTTACTGAAGAATTAATAATATTCTTGATGTTGTATTTCACAGAGATGTTAAAGAGAAATAATTGCTTTAGGCAGGGCTTCATGGGCTGCTGGTTCTTTGATGGAATCATTAAAATGTGATTGGGATTTTGTTTTCAATTTCATAGGTCCAGAAACTTGAATATTGATACTTTTACCCTAAGCTGTTCTTGAGGACTCTGGATCTTTTTTTTTGAAGAAAATTAGCCCTGAGCTAACATCTGCTGCCAATCCTCTTTTTTTTTTTTTTTTTTGCTGAGGAAGTCTGGCCCTGAGCTAACATCTGTGCCCATCTTCTCTACTTTATATGTGGGACGCCTACCACAGCATGGCTTGACAAGTGGTGCCATGTCCGTACCCGGGATCCCCACCGGTGAACCCCAGGCCATTGAAGCAGAACGTGCGAACTTAACCGCTGTGCCACCAGGCTGGCCCTGGGACTCTAGATCTTAATAATACTAGTTAACATTTGAGTGCTTGCTATGTGCCAGACACTGCTTGAAGCACTTTACACATGTTAACTCATGTAAACTCTCACAACAATTCTATGAGATAGGTACTATCTTTATTTTACAGATGAGAACACTGAGGCACAGGGAACTTAAGTAACTCCCCTAAATAGTAAGTGTTAGAACCAGGATTTGACTATCACTGGAACCCACAGGCATACCTTGTTTTATTGCACTTCACTTGATTGCACTTTTAGATATCACATTTTTTACAAACTGAAGGTTTGTGGCAATCCTGTGTCGAGCAGGCCTATCGGTGCCATTTTTCCAACAGCATTTACTTGCTTTGTGTCTCTGTTTCACATTTTGGTAATTCTCACAATATTTCAAACTTTTCATTATTATTATATTTGTTATGGTGATCTGTGATCAGTGATCTTTGATGTTGTAATTGTTTTGGGGCACCATGAACCGTGCCCATATAAGAAGGTGAACTTAGTTGATAAATGTTGTGTGTGTTCTGACTGTTCCACCAACTGCCTGTTCTCTTATCTCCCTCTCCTCTGTCCTCCCATTCCCTGAGACACAACAATATTGAAATTAGGCCAATTAATAACCCTACAATGACCTCTCAAATGAAAGGAAGAGTTGCACATCTCTCTCTTTAAATCAAAAGCTAGAAATGATTAAGCTTAGTGAAAAGCCACGTCAAAAGCTGAGATAGGCCGAAAGCTAGGCCTCTTGTGCCAGTTAGCCACGTTGTGAATGCAAAGGAAAACTTCTTGAAGGAAATTAAAAGTGCTACTCCAGTGCACCCATGAATGATAAGAAAGTGAAACAGCCTTGTTGCTCATATAGAGAAAGTTTCAGTGGTCTGGATAGCCACAACATTCCCTTAAGCCAAAGCCTAATAATCCAGAGCAAGGCCCTAATTCTCTTCTAGTCCTTGAAGCCTGAGAGAGGTGAGGAAGCTGCAGAGGAAAAGTCTGAAGCTAGCAAAGGTTGGCTCATGAGGTTTAAGGAAAGAAGCCATCTCCACAACTTAAAAGTGCAAGGTGAAGTAGCAAGTGCTGATGTAGAAGCTGCAGCAAGTTATCCAGAAGATCTAGCAAAGATAATTAATGAAGGTGGCTACACTAAACAACAGATTTTTTTTTTTAGTTAGGTTTTTATTGAGGTAACATTGGTTTATAACATTAAATAAGTTTCAGGTGTACATCATTATATTTTTTTGTTTGTTTGTTTATTTATTTATTTATTTTTGAGGAAGATTAGCCCTGAGCTAACATCCGTGCCCATCTTCCTCTACTTTATTTGTGGGACGCCTGTCACAGCATGGCTTGCCAAGTGGTGCCATGTCCACACCCAGGATCCGAACTGGCGAACCCTGGGTCACCAAAGCGGAACGTGCACACTTAACCGCTCCGCCACTGGGCCGGCCCCCTACATCATTACATTTCGACTTCTGTGTTGACTACATCATGTTCACCACTCAAAGTCTAGTTGTCATTTGTTATTGTACACATTTGCCCTTTACCCCTTTTGCCTGCCTTCCTCTCCCTTCCCCTTTGGTAACCACCAATCTACTCTCTGTGTCTATGTGTTTGTTGTTTTTGTTGTTTTATCTTCCACATATAAGTGAAATCATACAGTATTTGGCTTTCTTTATCTGATTTATTTTGCTTAGCATAATACCCTCCAGCATGTTGATGCAAATGGCTTGATGAGTGGTGCGTAGGTCCGCTCCCAGGATCAGACCTGGCGCACCCTGGGCCACCAAAGTGGAGTGTGTGGACTTAACCACTATGCCACCAGGCCAGCCCCTAATTTCTCTTTCTGATAGGTTGTTATTAGTATGTAGAAATGCCACAGATTTTTGTGTATTGATTTTGTATCCTGCTACTTTACTGAATTCGTTTATTAGTTCTAACAATTTTTTGATGGAGTCTTTATTGTTTTCTATGTACAGTATCATGTCATCTGCAAAGAGTGACAGTTTTACTTTTTCCTTTCCAGTTTGGATGCATTTTATTTGTTTTTCTTGCTTAATTGCCCTGACTAGGACTGACTATCACTGAAACCTATATTATTTTAACTGCCTTCTGAAACACATTTGTACTCAGTTCATAAAAGATTGGTCTGGAAAACTAGGATGCTAATTTATTAATTTACAAGGGAGATTATATCTAATCAAGAGTTATATAGTCTGTATATGTAATGATTCTCACCTTTTATTCTAACACTTGCTCTTATATACTTCTTGTCTTCAAACAAAAAAAATTTGTTGAGCTTTATACTTTGTGGTTTGTATTTGAAAAAGAATAAGTATATTGGATATGATTTTTTTAAACTATGAACACCCTAGTTTAGATTCTCATTTCGGTCTGTGGTGCACAAGCAAAGTACCTTGGAATGAGATGAGGAGTCAGGCATATAGAGTATGGTGGAGATGAGACAGAGAAAAATAGCATAGATTGGCAAGGACCTTTATTCTGTGGGATGTAGGAATCCACTGAAGGTTTTTGAACAGGGAGCCAGAGACACATGATCTGGCCAACTCTGTATTTAAATATGAGGACTATGGCAGCAGTGGGAAGGGTGATTTAAAGAGAAGAGAAATTAGAATCCAGGAAATTGGGCCATAATAGATATTTAAACAAACAACGAGTAGGCACTGAATTAGGACAGCAGAAAAAGAACAGAAAGTAAGATGGACTTGTTAAAAAAAAATGGACTTGTTAGCTGACTGAAGGTAGAAGTTTTGAGAGAAAGAAGTCAAATTCATATTGCCCAACTTCCTTTAAAAGGAGTCAGTCGCCACTGTAATGTATATAATAGGTTAAATGTATATAATAGGCTGTTAGAATCATGAAGCTTTAAGCTGTGTGGTCATGACTGCATTTGGTCTTCCTAATTAGATTTGAGAGAGTCTTGACTGACTTATCAGGTGGGTGCTTTTGGTTTTTTTTAGCATAGGGTACTTCTGCAGATGGCTTCTCTCACTCATGATTTTTCTCCCAACTAGTTTCAATTTGGGGGCATTTTTCAGATCTTGCCCTTAGCTATGTTCTTTCTCATCCTGTGTTTCCACCATTTTGGTAGTGATTCTTCACCTTTTATGACTTATGTTCACAGATTCAGTGAATTAAAAGTAATGTAACATTGTTTTTGTTTTCATTTGGGTTGAAGGTTAAGAATTATGTTGTTTCTGACACTTTATCTTACACTTTTCATCTTTGACTGACAGCTGCCATGCAAAGAAAGCCCAAATCATATTCGTCTTCTTTAATGGATCAGATTCCTATCAAATTCCTTATTCGACAGGCTCAAGGGCTGCAGCAGGAGTTGGGAGGTATTTGTTTTACTTGCTTTTTACTGTTGACGTTTATTGGTAAAACATACTTTACTGTTTATAATGTTATAATGTGTAATAGGTGCTCAGTGTTAAAAATTCAAATTGTCTTACTCCCTGCAAACCAACTCTTCCCCCTCAAACCCCCAGCTGTTTTATTTTGGTGTGTAATTTCAGACATTTTTTTCTACAGGTTAAACCATATGAAATTGCAGGTATTTAACTATTTTTGACTTACAAAAATGCCATTTCATATGATTGAGGCTAATAGATACACGAGTAAAAAATTCTTTCTTTAAACTATAAATGGTATTATACCCTCTCTTTTCTGAGGTTTGCTTTTTCCTCTTGGAGTCTTGGAAATCTTTTCATGTCAGTACATGTAGTCTATGTTATTGTTTTTAATTACTATATAATATTCCTGAGCATGAAATTACTGTAATATTTTTAGTGTAAAGCTGTCATAGAAATATGTTTTGAGATTCAATTTTTTTCTTTTTTTAATAATGTTTTCTTTTTTTCTTTTTTAACAATGTGTGAGTGTGGGGTGTTCTTTTTTTTGTTTGTTTCCTTGAAGTTGGAATTTTCTTTTTCTTTCTTTGTTATCGTTGGTTTCAAGGAGGAACGTGAGCCTTCTTTGGTCATCTTTAGCCAGATGTCTTCATTTATTATATCTTTGCATAATCTGTTTCCAAAGAAATGATGTTATATTTGGCAACATTTGGAAACTAACTGTTTTGTTGAAGAGATTATGAAATGTAGATTAATTTGTACTGTTGTAAGCAGTCATTTTTGTGACTGTTTTGGGATAGTCTTAAGTATACATACACTTGTGCATTTAGATTTTTAGACTTTAAATTTATACCACTTTTGATTGTTACAGTGTCTTTTCAAACAGAAACATTAATTCTAAGCAGTTTCTATGAGAAAGGAAGCAGATACTATCCCTATGGGACTAAGCAGTGGTATGGTTGATCTAAGTTGCATAATAAGGGGATGATTGGATCTAAAGTACTTTTATTACTACTAATCTTAAAACTCTGATGATGATAATAGTATAGTAACAACAATATTTATTGAGTATTTATGTGCTAAGCACTTAGCATAGTGGTATTTCATATATCTAAATAGGCATTTTTACAGTATCATCATTTATTTTCTCATTATTGATATTACACAATAATAATCATGAATAGTCAAACTATGCTATCAGCAAAGGTTAGAAACAAGACTGATTTAGAAATAGGAAGGTTTCCCATTCCTTTTCTTGAAGGAAGACAAATGCACCCTCTTGTGGGTATCATCAGTACTGCTTCGGTTGGCTGACATGCTTAGCTGTGTGACATTAATCAATGTCTGTCAGCCTGTTTCCTTACAGTAGAATGGAGACAATATTGCTCACCTTGTAGGAATATTAGGGTGATATGAGAAAATGTACATAAAGTGCCTGAGACCTTTTAGGCACTCCAAGTGAGCAAGTTTAATTTTACCCATCTATAGCAATGATTCTCATCTGGGTTGGAGGAGAGCACATGTTCTCTGATAGAAGCCTGTCAGAATTTCTGAGTGAGGCCTTTTTCAAACCATATATGATCTCACCCAAATGGACATTCTTTTCTCTTCTTTTTCTTTCCTCCCCCTCTCAACTCTTGAACTACTGCTCTGTCAAACCACTTTTCCTGATGGAAGACATTGATATTGGGATAGGGTGGAAGGAAGCTTGAGAACTTTTGATAGAAGTAGTGGTTTCCAGCTTCCTCCTGTGTAACAGATCACTTGGGGATCTTTATTTAAGCAGTTTCCCTGGCTCAACTACTAAACAGAAGTTCCCAAACTGTGGAATGCATGCACAAGAAGTGCAGATTCCTTTGGATTGCTGAAAATGAAAGGGAGCAGGGAGAGGAAGAGAGGAGAGAGAGGATTTTTGTGTTTATAAATGAAGAATCCAATTTACTTCTTGTAAATTTTTAAGGGTTGCATTCTGCTTTACTACGTCTCCTTGCAACTAACTACCCACATTTATGCATTGTGGATGATTGGATCTGTGAAGAAGAAATCACAGGGACTGATGCCCTGTTAAGGCGAATGCTCCTGACTAATAATGCCAAAAACCACTCGCCTAAACAACTCCAGGAAGGTATAGTGAATTGATACTCCTTTTTCCCTTTTAGTAGTGCAGAGATGTTAGGCTCATTGAAATCTTAAAATCATGCAGAATTTCCCTGGGGATCTACTAATGTTTTGGTGAATATATTTCAAGTAATTCTCTTTGAGTTTAAGGAGTTTTAACCATTTCTTTCTGATATGCTTGTATCTGTTTCCTCATAAGTCCTATGTCATATCACTAAACAGGTTGTGTGGTTTTAGGATCTTCCAGAGAAGTCAATCAGAAATAATGGTCAGAAATAAGTGCCATGGAATAGAGCAATGTACTTGTAGTTAATGGATAGTGTTCTAGATCACCGCTGTCAAACAGAAATATGATACAAACCACACATGTAATTTTAAACTTTCTATAGCTATGTTAACAAGGTAAAAAGAAACAGGGAAAATTAATTTTGATAATTATTTTATTTAACCTGATAAATCTAATATATTAGTTCATCATGTAATCAGTATAAAAAAACTATTAATGAGATATTTTACTGTTTTACCATACTAAGTCTTTGCAGTCTGCTGTGTATTTTATACTTTGGGCACATCTCATTTTGGACTAGTTACACTGCAAATGCTCAATAGACAGATGTGGTTAGTGACTATTCTATTGAAGAGCACTGTCCTAGATTTCTTTCTTTTCCCCCTCCCCAAAACCCCAATACATAATTGTATATTCTAGTTGTAAGTCCTTCTAGTTCTTCTATGTGAGCTGCTGCCACAGCATGGCTACTGACAGACGAGTGGTGTGGTTCCCCACCTAAGAACCAAACCTGGGCCACTGAAGCGGAGCACGTCGAACTTTAACCACTAGGTATCAAGAAATTTGAATCTTTCAAATGAATATTATGGGGCTGGCACCATGGCCGAGTGGTTAAGTTTGCGCACTCCGCTTCGGTGGCCTGGGGTTTCGCTGGTTCAGATCCTGGGCACGGACATGGCACCGCTCATCAAGCCATGCTGAGGTGGCATCCCACATGCCATGACTAGAAGGACCCACAACTAAAAATATACAACTATGTACTGGGGGGCTTTGGGGAGAAAAAGGAAACAAAAATAAAATCTCTTCAAATGAATGTTACTACCAAAAGCAATATTTGGGTATATTTTCATATTTCAATCAATTTTTAAAATCAGTCTCAGTCTCCAAGGAAATGTCATTTGTCTTTGGGTCACTAATGTGATTTCTAAAATGAGATATTTTTTGTTCTTTATGAAATAACTATGCCTACATAAATTTTTCTTAAGGTCCTTATTTTAAGTATAGCCAGAACTATGGCTAGGATTGAGAGTAAAGCAAGATTGTTTTCTTGATTTGTTTGGCCTATAGTCTGATAGAGCAATGTTACTTCCTCTTTGGTAAGCTGGATAGAATATAGATTATGACTGCTAAATTTTCCTTTTAGCATTTTCAGCTGTCCCAGTAAGTCACACACAAGTGATGCAGATTCTAGAACACTTGACTCTACTCTCTGCCAGTGAACTTATACCATATGCAGAAGTATTAACATCCAACATGAACCAGCTATTGAATTCAGGGGTTCCACGGAGAATTCTTCAAACGGTCAATAAACTGTGGATGGTTCTTAATACTGTGATGCCTAGAAGGTAACTTCAGTGTATTGTTACATGTAAAAGATAAGTGTATAGCAGTGATTATATACAATAACCTAAACTTTACTGTTGAAAAAAATTGTTTAGTATTTAACATTATAAATCCTTTCTGAAGACTACTAATTAAAGAGTTGTTACAACTTTAAGGAAAAGAATAAACTTTATCTTAAGAAAGAGAGAGAGACCTTAAAGTTTTTCCAACTTGAGAAAGTTCTTTAAAAGTGAGTTCTCATGTATAGTCATTTGTGGCTAATTGTGATTTAGATCACTATTGTGTCTTGCATCGTTGCAGTGGCTCCAAATTTTGCTGCACGTTAAAATTACCTGGAGAGCTTTTAAAAATCTTGATGTCCAAGTTGTAACCCATGCCAATTAAATCAGAATGTATGTGGCTGGGAGTCAGGCATTAGTATTTTTTTGAAGATTCCCCAGTTGATTCCAGTATGCAGTAAAGTTTAGGGAATGCTGGATTAATTATTTTGTCTTTAGTCAAATGAGTCTCTGCTGGTCCACAGATGGCATCGAAAACACCTGGTCAGCTCTGAAAACAGAATACTGGGCTGGACTTCCCTGAGATTTTGATTTAGTAAATCTGGGAATATTTATACTTTTTCAATTTTTTACTTATATCAAATTAATAAATGCACATAAGTTAAATAGTATATAAGGTTTGCCCACACCTTCCCATTTAGACTCTTGCTCCCCAGAGACAACTATTTTCAGCTCTTTTATCTTTTTATTTTTGCATTTGTATCCCCTCATGTATCTCAATAATATGCTTATAATTACTATGATTTTCTGACTTTTCAAGTTAGAAATTTTCTTTTGACTTCCTACTGTACAAGATGAAGATTTAGCACTCTTTCTTGCTTCCTCCCCTATGAGTCCCTCTTCCTCCATTTCTCCCAACACAGTTATATCAAAATTTTTGGTTAAAGCAATATTCAGTGTGCATATTATGACTACATAAGTGTTATTTATAGTTGACCTATGTGCTATCCTTTGATTACAATTTCTTTCTTATACAACTGCCCTCCTCACTTATACAACTTACGCAACTTATACGACTTATACTTATCTTGCACAACTGTGCACCCCACACTCAAACTCTGAGTTAATACTTCCCTCTTTTCCATTTGCTCAGGGTTTTTTTTTTGTATCAGTAACTAATTCATCCCCAGACTCCATTATGAGGGGAAATTTACTTTACAATTAGTTATAACACATCAAGTAACGTATCAGTAACATTTTTTTTCTTGGAAACGTTCCTTTCAGAGCCTTCCATCCTCATGTTTCAATCTGGGACATGCACAGTGGCCGTCCTGGAATTGCGTTTGTCTCTCTTTGTTGGATACCGTGTTTTTCTTGGTTTAGTTCCTCATTTTAGTGAGTAGAACTCATACTCAGGTTGCTTCCTGAGAAAGGGTGTTTGAGAAACTTATTTTTTTTTGAGACTTGCATGCATGAAAAGGTTTCTATTCTTTCACTCACATGTGATTGATATTTAGCCTGGATGTAGAATTCCAGTTCGTCGTTCCTTTAAGAAATTTGAAGGCTTCGTTCTATTGAACGAATCAGAGCTTCCCTTATTGCTATTGAATAATCATATATTACACCAATTCCCAACCTTTGTATGTGACCATTGTTTTTCCTCTCTTAAAGGTTTTAGTTTTTTTTTCTTTCACTGTTTTCTGGAATTTCATGGTGAGGTATTTTGGTGTGGCTTTTTTTTTATTCATAGAGCTGGGCACTCGGTTGGGTTTTTTTTTAGTCTGGGTACTAATGCCTTCATTTCTATGACATTTTCTTTTATATTTTTTTTCCTTCAATAATTTCTTTCCCTCAGTTTTCTGGATTTTTTTGAGATTTGGATTTTAAATCTCTTGTTCTTATTCTCTGATTTTCTCTTCTATTTTTTAATCCATCTTTTGAATATACTTTCTGGGTATTTCCTCGATGTTATCTCCTGATTTTTCCTTTGAATTTAGAAAAATTTCTGTTTTATTCTTAATTTCTAAGAGCTCTTTCTTATCTGAATATTTTTAAATGCCTTCTGTTCTTGTTTCAAATATGAAATATTCTGTCCTTTAAGGATATTAATTATAGGTTTTTAAAAAAAAATTCTTCTCATCCTTACATTCTCTTGTTTCTTTGGAGTTGCTTTTTTTCTGCTTGTATATTTTAATCCTTTTCAAAGTAGAAATCTTCTTTCTGTGTTTAATGATTTTTTGCCATCCACTCATATTAAAGAGTGGGGAAGCTGTGTATGTGCAGTGGGGCTTATGGGCTCCTGGGCTTCACTGGAAGAGATCAGGTACTTTCCATATTGGCATATCTCTCAGTAATTCTGATGTACTGCCAGGTTAGTAACTACTTATAGTCTATTGATGTCTCATCTCAAAGTGGCATCTCACATTGAGATTTCATGATGACAAATACAGAACAGTGACTTAATTTATGAGGCCAGATATAGTTTCAAAGTGCTTTGATAAGTATTATTTCATTTACAGGTATTATATTCCTATTTTACAGACAAGGAAAGTTACAGAGAGGCTCAATGACTTATACAAGGTCTTATAAAGCATGGTATAACTGAGGTTTTAATTCAAATTTTTATTTTATATGCCATGATTATTCCATTACAACTGTGAGGATTTTTGAAACTACTCTGTGTTTACTGTTTTATCTTCATTTGTTTTAGAGACATAATAATAGGTTAGATCTTTGTAGGTTTTAATTTTTTCAAGTTCATTCACACTTGTTTCCTAATTTTTTCCTGAATGTATCTTTCTAAGATAGAAAGGACTGGATGGCTACAGGTTTCAATTATAATATAGTTGTTTTTGTTTTTGAACGTGTGATTATTTTCTCATCAGGCTCTGGGTAATGACAGTTAATGCACTTCAACCTTCAATAAAGTTTGTAAGACAACAAAAGTATACTCAGAATGACCTGATGATAGATCCTCTTATTGTCCTAAGATGTGATCAGAGGGTACACAGGTACGTGTCATTTGAGTTTCATTTTTATTATAGAGTTACACTTTGGAGAGTCAAAAGAAATTGAAGAAATTTAGTTTAATCTTATATCTTAGTGTTCTTGCAGATAACTGGCAGTATGACCTGTGAGGTTTTCTGGTTCTTTTTAGTTATCTATATTCATGAACTATATATTCAATTTAATATTTAATATGTGATTAGTAAAACCTAGCCTCAAAGAAATGTCTTTCTCGGTTTTGGCAACTCTCAATAACAGCTGTTCCTTCTCTTAGAGGTAAGAGCAGTAAAGAATATTACTATTTCTGCTAGCATTGTTGAAAAGCTTCATTGTGAGCCATTACGTGGACTAAAACTGTGATCTTTGGTGATATTAGCTTCATTGATCAGACATTTGTCTGTAATTCCTTGCCAGTTGCTGAACTTAATTGCTTTGAAGGCTTCACCTCAAGAGGCAGAATTAACGAATTCACATCATTAATATTTGAATTTCCAGTTGCTGTGTTAAGTAATATTGAAGATGCACAAGTTGAAGGGCTTGCCTGTAAAGTGATTATTACTTGCGTGGGTAAATAAGACGAAGAGAAGTTAAATAATATGGTCATGTGCAAATAAATGGTATGGTAAATGAATGCTGTTAAAAGTTCAGGAAACATATGGAGGAGGTGGGACCTGAGCAGTATTTTAAAGGATGGAAATAGACTTTAGATGAACAGATGAACTATAATGATGGGAGTTAGGGGGTCAAGGAAGATATTGTGAGGAAAAATGAAAAAGGTTTGGATTGGAGGGGTAAATTTTTGAGAAGAAAACACTTTAGGATTGGAATGTTAGGTTGGAGTGAGACTGTGGAGGGCCTTGAATGTAGGCTAAAGAGGTCATTTAGGCTAAGGTAACTTAAGAAGAGAAACTTTGCGTTAGACAGTTTAGAGGGGAATGAAACTGGAGTAAAGAAGACTAACTAGGATACACTATGAATATACTCATCTGTCCTCAACCCTGGGGATGACAGTCTTGAAGTGACACAACGTGCAAAATCAGCCAGATATGGTTTGGCGAGATCAAGGTCTCACAGGAAATAGGAATTAGAAGAATAAACAGTATAAATGACGTTATCTAATAAAAGGAAAACAACAGTAATTAACACTTCTACAAAAGAGCCACTTCTAAAACAATTTATCAGTGTTAAAAATCCACTTAAGTAGCTAACCTTTTTTTTTTTTACATTGCGTGTCATCCTTGTGCAGGGGCCATACTAATCTTCACTGTATCGCTCCAATTTTAGTATATGTGCGCCGAAGCGAGCACAGTAGTTAACCTTTTACCTGAATTGCTTCTGTTTATTCAGGAAGTTGTTACATTATGCTATCATAATGTATGTAATGTTTTTATAACCTGGATTTTTCACTTAACAGCTTGTGAACCTTTTCTCATGTTAATAGATATTCTTACATTAATTGGCTACATGGTATTACACATATATGTGCTGTGCTTAATCCAATCCCCTATTGCTGGATATTTTGTTTATTTCTATTTTTTGTTATTATCAGTAGTGCTCTGGTGACTATTCTGTGTACTGGGTTTTTCCTGAGAACAGATTCTTAAAACTGAAATTATTGGGGCAAAAGTAACATGCTCATTTTCAAGAATTTTGATTCATATTTTCATTCTGCCATCCAGAAAGGCTGAACCAGTTTACATTCCCATGGCAATGTCTGATATTATACAATTTTATGTACTATTTTATATAATATTTTCCAGTTTGACAGCTGAAAAATAGATTCCCATTTTAATTTATATTTTAGTTAGATTGAATATTTTAATATATTTATTGGCCATTGGCATTTTTTTCTTTATATTTTAGCCTTGATTCTTAGTGGAATGTTTATCTTTTTTGAGTTAAATAGTCTTTATCTACAAAGGATATCAGCTCTTTGTACATATAGTGCATTTTTCCTTTATTGTTCTATTGTTTTTCTTTTTAATTTTATTTTTTAAAATTTAATTTTTTACTACGTGATCATTCACATGGTTTTTAAAAATATGAAACAATATAAAAACATATACATATATAAAAAAATATGATGTTTAGGATTTGCTTTGAACTAACCCAGTGGTGGTCATGGGAAAGTGGATGCAATATAGATGAAATAAGACTGCCCATTCAGGGCCGGCCCGATGATGCAGCAGTTGGGTTCGCACCTTCCGCTTCTTGGCAGCCCAGGGTTTGCCGGTTCGGATCCTGGGTGCGGACATGGCACTGTTTGGCAAGCCATGCTGTGGCAGGCATCCCACATATAAAAAAAGTAGAGGAAGATGGGCACGGATGTTAGCTCAGGGCCAGTCTTCCTCAGGAGAAAGAGGAGGATTGGCAGTAGTTAGCTCAGGGCTAATCTTCCTCAAAAAAAAGACTGACCATGTGTAGATAACTGTTGAAGCTGGCTGATGAATTCTTGGAGGTTCATTATAATATTCCCTCTTTTCTGATATATGAAAGTTTTCATAATATACATTAATAAATGAACAAACAAGAAGAATAACAACAAGAAAAAGGTGTACAGGGAAAAGTCTTGTTCTCTCTCATAGCCAGCATGCTGCCATTGTTAAAGCAAAATTTCTCTTTGGACTCTTGACCAATCCCAGTTCTATCTCCAGAGGAAACTTTGTTGTCACAGTGGTGTGTATGTAGCTCTACTTTCTATGTATTTACAAATTTATAAATAGAAATATTTACCTTTTGTTTCAGGTGGTTTTAAAAAACATATGTAGTATTATATTGTAGGCATTCTTTTGTTCTTTTTTTTAAAACTTACTGTTCTCAACATGTTTTCCATATTAGTATGCATAGTTCTAGCTCATTTGTTTTAATTGCTGCATAATATTCCATATATAGATTACCAGGCCTATCCTCCAGAGACTGATTCAGAATGTCTGGAGTTGGGCTTGGGACTTTTTGTTTTAAATAAGTACTCCAGGTGATTTTTATCTTAAATTTAGGGAAACACTCCCATAGTTTATTTAACCATTGACATGGCTTTTTCAGTATACATACATGTTTATTATAGGAATTTGGATATTCAGAAAACCCATTGGCATACTGATGGACATTTAAGCTGTTTCCAGTGTTTCAATTAGGAACAAAGCTATACTGCCCTTTTATGCACACATGCTAGTTCTCTCTGTAATAGACTCAGAAGTGGCATTGTCAGGTTTTTCTAAGGGCTTTTAGTGGTTACTAATTTGTCTTTTTTTGTATCCTTTTTTACATTTAATTCTTATATCCTTATCTCATTTAAATTTAATCTATAATAGTCTTTGAGGAATGAATAACTGTACTTATTTTATAGATGAGGAAACTGAGGCTTAGTAAATAAAGCACTCTTGGAATACAGAGTTGTCTTGCTGTCTTGCTCCAAAGAACAAACAGGAGTGGAAAGAATAACTACTCTGTTCTAGTCTGCTTCATCTTATCAATAATAGAATATTTCTCTTTGAGGACAGCTGCTTTGCAGGCCCATATCTAAAGAGATTTACTGGCAGTGCCATGTTTTTGTAAAAAACATCTTTTCTCTAGAGTATATACGTTATATTTGATTTTAGCTAATAAGATGAAATAGTACTATTTATATAATCTTGAAATATAGAGAATAAAATATATATTAATAACTTTTATTTTGAGAATGAATATTTCAGTGGGAAAAGTATTACTTTACTACTCTTTTCAGGTACTGTTCAGATTTTTCTAACTATTTAAACGTAATGATCATGTTCTGGCTAATTTATAATTTTATATCCTTTCTCATGTATTTTTCTTTTCTTCTTTCTGTGTTTAGATGCCCCCCACTGATGGATATTACTCTACACATGCTCAATGGATATCTTCTTGCATCCAAAGCCTACCTTAGTGCTCATCTGAAGGAAACAGCAGAGCAAGATAGGCCTTCCCAGAATAATACAATAGGTTTAGTTGGACAAACTGATGGCCCAGAAGTTACCAGAGAAGAATTGAAAAATGCATTACTGGCTGCTCAGGTAATAAAGTAAAATTTAGTCCAAAAGGGCAAGGGCTTACCTCTTAATACAATCAGTTAAATGGATGGCATCTTATGCCCTCTATGTACATTGGTGACATACTGTGCATTCCTTTTATTACAGAATGTATTATATATAGTGTTACTTTTGTTTCTGATACTATATTACTAAAATCAAGAATAATCCTCATGATATTAATAGCCATTTAAATAAGATTTACATTTTAACAAAGTATAAGACTATTGTTTCTTAAAATCAAATGGTGGGAAAAAAAATCAAAGGGAGACAAACAGAACAAGAAGTATATATATATATATAATAAAATGTCAGGCAGCAATAAGTACTATGATAAGCAGTTTAGTTTTATATTTAGAAAAGTTTTATAACAATGTAGAATTTTACTGAAGCTTTCAGTAGTCATTTTTGAATAATGCAGGAGATGATACATGATTAACTTAAGCAATTTGATGTTTTCAAAGTGGAAATGTTTTCTTGGTTTGAAATATATTTTCTGAAATCTTTTCATTGGCAATAAGGGAAAGTAGAGTAATAATATAGGTCTATAATCCCTTATCTGTAATATATACAGAAATCCAAAAAGCTATGAAAACCAAAGCATTTTTTGGTAATTCAGTTGTCAGAAAAACCTGAGCTGATGTGACCTCATTTGTGACAAACCTTGACCTGAATTGATGGGAAGCTATTTATGGCCTTTATCCCACTTAATATGAATATTGCTATGTCTTGCTGCAGAAATATTAATATATTTGATTACAGTGTGCTACCCTAGTCTCTGCTGGAGGTGTTATATAATATTACAGTAAAAAAATTCTGAGTTCTAAAATAAATTTGACCCTCAGAGGTCAGATAAGGGATTGAGGACTGTAATAGCTATCATTTAGATGTTTACTATATGCTGGGTACTAGTCTAATTTCTTTATGTATATTAACTCATGTAATCTTTACAACCAACCTATGAGGTATGGAGTATTATTATCTCCATTTTTACAAATCAGGAAAATGAGACCCAGAGAGGTTAAGTGACTTGCTCAAGGGTACACATTTAGCAAGTGGCAGAGCTAGGATTCAAGCCTGGGCAGTCTGGCTCCAGAGTCTACAAACAAAAACAAAACAGTAACAACCCAAAATCCCTCAACCCAAGAATGATGATTATAAAGTAAAGCTAACCTTACTTTATAAATGATTATAATGTAAGACTAACCTTACTTTATAATCAAGTTCTTAAACAGTTAGATGAAGTAATTGTTTTCTTCTATTCCAGGCAATGGCTGTCTTTCAGAGATGCATGTCATACATTCATTTTTTTTTTCACTCCTTGCTGCTAGATGAGAGTGATTATAGCTCTCCTTTATATGTAGGGGCATCACGTAGATCACCCCTCAAGAAACTACTGTTCTATGAAATGACACTCAAGCTTGTAGACTGAGCAACAATGAGTTGTACAGGTGGAATGGATGGTAAGGCAGAATCTTTCCTTGCAAAACCAGGGCCTTAAAGAGCCCATCTTCAAGTTAAAAGGGAAAAGAGCTTTGCGAAGTGACTTTTAGGTATTAATTATTAAGCACCATCTTCAGAGGAATTAATTAGTTGGTAGCCAGGTAAGAAAAAGAGGGAGATACAGAATAGGATCCTGGGAGAAGTAGGAATCTAAGAGGAGGGAAAGGAGAGTCTGATAGAAGTCTTTTTTTGGCCTCGGGGCTGTTTTGAATGTCACTGAATCAGAGTGCTCTTTTAGCAGATGTTCTTAAACTGGAGTCCATGGATCTGCCTTAGAGATATGTGACCACCCTGAAATTATGCAAATATTTGTTTACATATGTTAGTTTTTATAGGGAGAGGGTGTATAGTTTTCCTCAGATTCTTAAAAGGGTTCATGACTCTAAAAATGGTGAAAACCACTGCTCTAGATTGCTCCCTTTTGCTCTTAGAAGTACCTCTTTGCTTTTTTTTTTTTAAAGAAACAGTTATTTTTATCACTTCTGTTCATGTGAAAACAAAATCAGATTTGGTTTTCAAATAAACTTCTCAGAAACTTCTTAATTTCACTGTGTTTTATTTGCTTGTAGGATAGTGCAGCTGTCCAGATTCTCTTGGAGATTTGCTTACCTACTGAAGAGGAGAAAGCAAAGGGTGTCAGTCCAGACAGCTTGCTAAAGGATGTTCAAAGTGTTATTACTACCAGTGCTCCAAATAAGGGATTGGAGGAAGGAGAAGACAATTTGCTCTGTAACCTTCGAGAAGTTCAGTGCCTTATCTGTTGTCTGCTGCACCAAATGTACATTGCTGATCCCAACATTGCTAAGCTTGTTCACTTTCAGGTCTGTTTTCAAAGAATGATGCTTTATGGTCGAAGTTTATTTTTTTATGTTTTTTTAATTTTTTTTTTAAAGATTTTTTTTTTTTTTTTCCTTTTTCTCCCCAAAGCCCCCCAGTACATAGTTGTATATTCTTCGTTGTGGGTTCTTCTAGTTGTGGTATGTGGGACGCTGCCTCAGCGTGGTTTGATGAGCAGTGCCATGTCCGCGCCCAGGATTCGAACCAACGAAACACTGGGCCGCCTGCAGTGGAGCGCGCGAACTTAACCACTCAGCCACGGGGCCAGCCCCCGAAGTTTATTTTTTAGGGAGGCTTTAACTACTAAATTAATAGGGATCATTTAGAAACTAGAGATCACACAAATGATCACGGCCCTTTGTAATATGGAGAAAAATCCAGATTTTTTTAGATTGGATTTCAACTAATAAAGTCTTCAGATAATTCATCTGTATTCTAGTGCAAAAGAAAGGTGAAATGTCAGGATATACATAGGGCACGGTAGCCTTCTCAGTAACTTACAGAAAGGAAGTGAAACTTTCCTTTATATTTTTATCTTTATTTGACTTACAGTTATTTTATTTCTAACTTTTTCTCCCTTTCTTGCTGAGATAGGGTTATCCATGTGAACTCTTGCCGTTGACAGTCGCAGGTATTCCATCTATGCACATCTGTCTGGATTTCATACCTGAGCTTATCGCACAGCCAGAACTTGAAAAACAGGTAATGAGCATTTTGCAGCTTCAGAAAAATTTTGATCTCCCTCCAGTCTTGCTAGTTATATAAAACATTTTATAATTTTTAATACTTAAAGATATTTTTCAGAAACACATAACATTTAGCTTTTGTATTGCAGATATTTGCTATCCAGTTGCTTTCTCATTTGTGTATCCAGTATGCATTACCAAAATCACTCAGTGTGGCTCGCTTAGCTGTCAATGTCATGGGAACTTTGTTAACAGGTGCGTAGCCAACCAATATCACTAACAAAAACTTCTAACATAGCATAGTACGTATTTTTTCTGAATTTAGTGCTACTGTGTTTTCTGTGTCACTAATAGTTTATGCCATCTTTTGAACTATTCTTTTGAAAATTTTCCTCTTACAAATGTGATTTATAGTGTAGAGGCGATGAATAGGTAGGCAAATTGTATCTTTCATTTTGTGAATGACTATATATAGATTTATAGTAAATAATAAGCTTTCCACATTTTATAAATAGAAATCAAATCTACTTTCTGAATGTAATTATGTCAGTAGAACATAAGTTATACTGGGGGCCGGCCCAGTGGCGCAGCGGTTAAGTTTGCACGTTCTGCTTTTCAGCGGCCCGGGGTTCACTAGTTCGGATCCCAGGTGTGGACATGGCACTGCTTGGCAAAAGCCATGCTGTGGTAGGCATCCCATGTATAAAGTAGAGGAAGATGGGCATGGATGTTAGTTCAGGACCTGTCTTCCTCAGCAAAAAGAAGAGGATTGACGGCAGATGTTAGCTCAGGGCTAATCTTCCTCAAAAAAAAAAAAAAAAAGAAATAATTTATTACACATGCTGAGAGTTCCAGAAAAATATAATCATGTATAAATAAGAAATAAATATATCGTTCCCTTAAGTTCTAAAACATACCCTAATATTTTAACCACCTTCTGTTTTGTAGAGTAAAATCATATGAAAATAAACTACTTTAAAAGATATGAACTACAATTCAATCTTTTAAAGTTATGGCTTAGTTAATTTAAGATTCTTTTTCAGTGCTCCCATCATACTCTATTCATCTTTCTTTCCATCGTATTCACCTCATGTTATAATTATTTGTAGTGGTTAAGAGCCTAAACTGCCTGAGTTCAGTCCCAACTCTATCACTAACTGGCTGTGTGGCCTTGAACAAGTTTCTTAATCTAAGGTTTATCAAAGATTTTTCTCATATATAAAATAGATATCATAATAATACTTTCCTCATTCATAAGATTGTGAGAATTAAATGAAATAATGCATGTTATGCACTTATCACAGAGCTTGGGCATAAGAATTTATATTTTCCATGATGGGTCACTATTAGATTGTGAGCTCCCTAAAGGCAGGGCTGGCTGTCCTAGAAAACTTAGTATCCTCATCACAGAGCATGCTGCTAGTATATTGTGAATTTATGTCTGCAAAGTAAAAAAATTCTGTTTCATTTCTTTCCAACAGTTTTAACGCAGGCTAAACGATATGCTTTTTTCATGCCAACTCTGCCAAGTTTGGTCTCTTTTTGTCGAGCATTTCCTCCACTGTATGAGGATATTATGTCTTTGCTGATCCAAATAGGGCAAGTCTGTGCCTCTGATGTTGCCACTCAGACAAGAGACATTGATCCAATTATTACACGTACGTAGTAACTTATTTTCAAGAGTTGTTTTAATATCTCAAACAAAAAGGCCAAAATCCTTTCCAGATTTCTTGGCTTAATTAATTTTTTTCCCTTATGTTTTTAGGTCTTCAACAAATAAAGGAGAAACCAAGAGGATGGTCCGGAATTTGTAAAGATCCATCTTATAAAAACGGATCCAGGGACACTGAAAGCATGGATCCTGATGTACAGCTCTGTCATTGTATTGAAAGCACAGTAATTGAAATAATAAACATGAGTGTTAGTGGAATTTAAAGAAAAACAAAACAGACTTAAAAAAAATGAAGCTGTTTGCTGCATATACCCAACATGAATCTGCATCTTTTAACTTTAAACTGAATGGGAACAGTAATGTCTTGGAATCACTAAAATGATTCAATTCAACATGAATACAATTTAGAACTCTGTTGAGAATTATGCTTGCTTGTATTTGATTGGCCGTTCTTTGGATCTACTTTGCTGATATGTTTATATTGTAGTAGCCGAGCTTTGTTTTCCTACTGGGAGCACATTTAAGAAACTCGTTACTGGAAAGTGAATTTGGCCTTGTATTTAGCTTTTGAAGTGAAGAAAAACTGCCATGCCTTTAATTTAATTTCATATGAAAATGAGTCTGTGGGTAGCCCTAGTGTTTATTTTAACTGTCAGCTAGTAACAGAGTATGACAGTGATGCAATGATGAGAGGGAGAAAAAGCGCAGGGAGAATTCAGGAAAAGTTAGGAGTTTAAATACTCAGATAGAAACCTCTCAAATTTGCAATGTGAGTAATAGTAATGCAAGATGGAATTCCAGTTCTCAAGAAACAGGATTGAGAAGGCTTTAAAAAAGGCAAATAGCTTTTTATAAATGATTTCCATGGAATTACAGATGAGGATTTTAAGATTTTACATATTTGCTTCAATTTTTACTAATATATGAAGCCATATGTTTAAAGAGATACTTGAATAATTTGGAATTTTAAGATACTTAAAAATGTTTACAGAAACATCTTTGTGCAGAGAAGAACCTGAAAGTTCTAAAGCTCTCATTTAGTTTTTTTAAAAATTTATTTTGTAATGCTTTACTAACTTATCTAATAGAGAGGGGAAATACATTGGTATCTAATTAAAGTTTGGAGCAATAAAACCCACTGGATTAAAGAGCTCTTGGTTTGTCATCAGGATTGTAATTCACATCATAATTTTAGAAGATCTTTGAGTAAGAAAAATATGTACAGTGTTTGGACCTCAGGAAAAATTAAAAAGCAGGAGATACCGTGTTGCTGAAAGATTTTGCAGTCTTCTGTTGGTGACTTCCATTGATGAGGTAGATGCATCCAGGTAACCTCACTTTTTTTTTTCTTAAGTAGCCAATGTAGAAGGTACTTCTTTGCTTTCTGAGATATACCTGAATGACACACTCCCCCCTCCCCCCAACTTGAAACAGACCTCTTCCCTTGTAAAAGAAATTAGGCAGGCTAATAAGAAAGTGTGGTTTTTAAGAAAAGAAATTTAACTTCAGCCTTTCACTAGCACATAGTCACATCTCATTTTCCTCCTTTGTAAAATGGGATTACTACTGGCCCTACCTCATAAGGGTATTGTTTAAGAACTAATTTGTAGCTGTTTAAATCATGAAGTGCACAGTATCATAGATGATAGAATATTTATAACTTTTATCAGATGCTTAATGTTCAATTAAGTAATTTTGATGTGAAAAATAAAAGCATGCTTAAAAAATACTGTAAGAATTTTCATATTTTTAAACAAGGCAGTTTTGTAGTCTTTTAAGATTAAATACAGCTGCTCCTGTTTTGTTTTGTTTTGAACTGAGGCATTGGAATATTTTGTGTGAGTAGGAAACCTCTAGGAGTTCAGAAAAGGTTGAAATATGTTTTCTAACTAAATGCAGTGAACATTCCTGGATCAATTTTCAAAGACTGGTCAAAACCTGCTGTGTTAAAATAATAACATTTGCTGTTTTTCATCAGATTTGTTGATGATGTAAATAAAATGTGTAAATATATTAGTAAATGTTAATATTCATGTATTTTAAGTTAAGGTTATAAAATTTGCCACAATGTGATTTTTTTTTATTCAAGTGAAAACAGATGTGTGCAGCTATTTTGAATATTGGTTTATAAACATTCATATTCTTTATCAAATGAACTTGTAGTTTTTTGTGTTTTATTTCACTACTGTTAACCTGAAAGGAACAGTTCAAGGGAATGGAATCCAGGACTGTCTGGCTCCAGAGCCTATGTGTATCCCTTGCTGTTATGTCACATATGTCAAATGGCAATACAAGGCTACAGTCAGTTGACAGCCTTAGGAATTTAGGGCAGGAAAATCGGAGTAGTTACCCTGGAACAGTTACTTCAATGATTTGATATTTAAAAAATTTGTAGGGGCTGGCCCCGTGGCCAAGTGGTTAAGTTCGTGCACTCTGCTTGAGCGGCCCAGGGTTTTACCAATTTGAATCCTGGGCGCGGACATGGCACCGCTCATCAAGCCAAGCTGAGGCGGCATCCCACATGCCACAACTAGAAGGACCCACAACTAAAATATATGCAACTATGTACTGGTGGGGTTTGGGGAGAAAAACCAGAAAAAAAAATTTGTAGAGCCAGCCCTGATGGCCTAGTGGTTAAAGTTGGGCACACTTCCCTTCAGTGGCGCGGGTTGGGTTCTGGGTTCGGAACCACACCACTTGTCTTTCAGCTCACATAGAAGAACCAGAAGAACCTACAACCATACAGAACTATATACTGGGGCTTTGCCGGGGGGGAAAGGAAGAGAAAAGGCGGAAGATTGGCAACAGATGTTAGCTTAGGGCAAATCTTCCCCTTCCCCCCCCAAAAGCCATAAAAAATTTGTAAAAGCAAAATAATTTGAATATATTTTTAAGGATTTGTTTTTATAAATTATCCTTTGTTCTACCCATCTTTGCTTATGCATACATATTTTCACATAATGGAATTCATAATACCCAGTTTGGAGTCCGCTTTTTTTCACTTAATTTTATGTGGGATTGTTTGTTGGCAAGTTGTTTAGTTTTTATAACTATTTTTTTGGCTGCATAATGATTGAATTGATAGAACCATATAGGGTGCTATTACCAGACTGGGAAGTTTATGATTTTCTTCAGTTTATAATAGGCACTGTTGTCCATTGAGATATTTTTACTTTGTCTTTCTTTTAGATTACTTTTTTAGGATAAATTTCTGAGCCTAAGATTACTAAATTAAAAGGTGGAATTTATTTTTATGACTGTACATTTTGCCATTTGGGGAAGACGCAGTAAAACTGAAAGTGAGGCAAGCAAACCAGCGGGCCTCCTGCGACTCCCCCTGCAGCCAACCTCTCCCCAAACTAGTCTTTCAAACTTGAGAAACTTGCTCAGGTTTTGGGTTTTTTTGAGACACTAGTATTTGAACCAAGTTTAGGCTATACAAAATTTTGAAAAAATCACAATTTGGCGAGATCACGATTAACTCCTTACCTTTGAGCAAACTGAAGTCTACTTCTTGGCAAAAAAGAATAAACTGGTTTTAGGAGGGACAGAAGGCGGATAAGCCTTAATGGAGGTAGGCGTGAGCCTGCGCCGGAGATCCCGAGAGCGTTTCTCCGGTTGAATTTGGTATCCGGGAAAGCCTCGAAGATTACGAGATGCTGTAGCCAGTTGTCAACGAACCTGGTCGCCTCGCTGGGCTCGGCAGTCTGGCAACTCCCGTCTCCGGGCTGTTGCTACCCCGGCTGCAGTAAGGTCCGGAAATTTGCATGGAGCGGCACTGATGAACGCTGAGCGAACAACTCGGCAAGGCTTAAAGGTGCTTCCTCTCTGTTGGTCTACAGACCTGAAGAATGACGCTTCGGGTTTCCGAGGAAACTGATGCACGGGTTAAATTACCGGTTTCAAAAAATCAAACGGAGAAGACGCTTCTCTTTGAAATCCCCGGATTTGCGCGAGTCGTACTCTTTCGGCGTTCGCCTTCCGGCGCCTCCAAGTACCTTGCGTCTATTCTTACCGCGGAGGCTTCCATTGGGCGCCAGGGCTCCCGCCCCCTAACCTCGCGCCGGGATTGGCTGCTTGTTTTCTGCTCTGGCGGGTGATTGGGTGCCGGGAGCCGAGGGGGTGGGAGGCGGGAATTCGTCCGGGAGAGTGTTGCTGAGGGCACTGAGGAGAGCGGGTGGAGAGAGAAGGTAAAACGGCCCGAGTCCGCGCTCAGGCGCGGGGAGTAGCAGCCCGGCGAGGAGGACAGAGGGGTTTGTGACCTTTCTTCTCCGCCAGGGCTCCGCTTTGTTTACTCGCAGCTCTCGGTTTCCTTTCCTCCCGGGAATCGGAGCGCCGTCTGCTCTGCATCGGTTTTCCTCAGCACAGGCAAGTCTGTCTCTCATGGGGAGGCGTGAAGCCTGCCGGGAGGGGGCCTTCTGCTTGCGGGCCCGTCGTGTGGACTGGAGCACCGGGGCCGGGGGATCTAAACACGCGAGCGGGGCGGGAAGTGTGAGCTGAAAACCTGAGCAGAGGGAGCCTGCCTTACCTCATTGGAGCAGAGGCCTCGTGCTCCCCCGGGCCCGCCTTAACGCCTGGGGGCAGGGGGCGGCGGCAGGAGGCAGAGCGGGATTTTTGTCCTTTAGTCAATATCTGGGGGGAGTGACCTCGTTTTGAGATGCATGTTCCGCAGCTGGGACGGGGGATGGATTGGTTTCTAGGTTATGTCTGAGTAAGTAGGCCAGTGTTGAGTTGTTCGTTCAAATGAAGTGTTAGATTCCACCAAATCACGTTCTCAGAGTTTCCTCGATAGAATCACAAAATATTAGAACAGGAAAATACCTTAGAATAGTGGTTTTTAACTTCTTTTGAAACACAGGCTGTGGCTAAGTTTATTATTGGCTTCATAATCTGTTGAATTGCCATTTTAATCATCTCTCCATCCGCAGACTCAATTTACCATTTTTTTCGCTATTGCAAATAATTCCTCAGTTGACAACAGTGCATACCATTTCCCCCTGTATTTTCAATTATTTTCTTAGGATATAGTTCTGAGAATGAGAAATCGATGGACTTTCTCTTCAGAAAAATGCAGTCGTAGGCAAAAACTTCTGCGTGCAATATCAAGAGATCACACAGTCTCTGACTTCGGCCTGTGGATCCTAGGTGAGGAAAAGGAGGTTTAGACGAGGTGGGGAACTAAAGTAGCCCCCTTCCTCTGTGTCAAATACTGGACTTTAGGCACATTCTGTACATTACCTTATTTAATTCTTAACTCAGTGCCTGGCTAATTTTCATAAAACTCAGGTAGATAATATTATCTCCATCTCACAGGTGAAGAAACAGGCGTCGAGAGGTTAAGTGATTGACACTGGAATTCAAACAGGCTTGCCTTACTCCAGAGCCCATCTTTTCACTATACCCTTCTGACCTTTAAATAAGAATTACTGACCACCTACCGTGCGCCAAGGCGTTTTCTCCCTTACAACAGTTTCTAAAATAGGGATTATTACAGATGAGGTTCTTAGTCTAGAGGAGTGAAGATACATGACCAAGGTAACATAGCTAAGTTGTTGGCAGAACCTGATCTAGAACCTATACTCCCTGACTCCTGGTCTACAGCTTTGGCAGAGTAGGAAACAAATCCAGATTTGTCCAATTCCAATACATGTTCTCAACCACTGTGATTTATAAGACTAGGAAATTCTTTTACTTCCATTTGTTTTGTTTATACATTTAATAATTCCAATTTTTGTTTCTAGACTTCTGTCCTGGTGTTGGGTACCAGGTTTTCTTTGAATGGCATTGTTTCAATATTGATTTTCGTTTCTGTTCCAGTTGGGAATCTGAAGTAAACAAGAAAGCATGACGTCTTCAGCATGGTCTGAATATACAATTGGTGGGGTGAAGATTAACTTTCCTTATAAAGCTTATCCGTCACAGCTTGCTATGATGAATTCAGTAAGTATTTTTCAGCAGTTATCTTAAGGCTTTATTAAGATACAGATGCTTATAATTCATAGCATACCTGAGTCTGTTACTACATTCGTTTTCTCAGATAATAAATGGATTGAAAATGTTTGCTGGGTTCATTGAAGAACATCTAACCTTTGGAAAAATAATACTGATCACTATTAAACTGTATATGGTTAGTACGCAAAGGAGAATATTCTGAAAAATTTTCTCAGCTCGTTTGGAACTTCTATTTACGGAATTACTGCTCTCTACAAAGTATTTACTGTCTTTTACACAGAATGCTATATTTCTCACCATATTTTCATTTGACATATTTCCGTCATATAGAAAATTAATATATAAACTCGAGCAAACTAACTTTCCAGCTTTGTCTAAGCTTAATATTTTGCCATATTTACTTTATACCTTGATTATGAGTAACAAGATTACTAGTATCCTGAATTTAATCTTTTTCTTTCTTAGCCATGATTTTATACTTTTATTTCATATGTATGTGTCCATGAACAATAGGGAGTATTACTTTACATGTTTTTAAACTTTGCACAATGTGATCCTATACCTGTCTTCCTTCAGAGCTTGATTTTTTTTTGCTTAATATTATTTTTAAGATGTAGCCCTGTTGATTGTTAATCTGTTTTAATTGCTGAATAGTATTCCATTGTATGAATTTACCAGAATTTTTTAATCCATTTTTCTTTTGATAAGACATTTAGGTTGTTTATATTCTTTTGCAATTATAAACAATGCTGCTATGAGCTTTCTTCTGCATGTTTCCTTGTGGTCGTGTGGGAAAAGGTTTTGGGCATGTACATAGGATTTGCTGGTGTTGGGTATCTTCAGCTTTACTAGAAATTGTTAATTTCTTTACAATGTGGTTGTGGCCATTTATACACTCCCCCTAGCAGTATCCCTCGTTAAGTTTTCATTGAAGATATTAGTATATTCTAGTTTTACAGAAATGATGGTACTTGCATCATTAAGGCACAAATTGCTTTTTTTCATTTCTTTTGTGCTTTTAAGTCCAACATAGTTTTAGGGAGAAGTATAAAGGAATAAGGTCTAGATTTAATTAAATGCTGGTTCTCTCTTTTGCTATTGCTCTGTTCCCTGAAGTGCAGCCTTACTTCTGGTTGTATTTGTACTTCTGATGGAGAGAGACTCTAGTGAAGTAAATTGTTTATTGATTTTTTAAATTGTTTTTGTGTCAATAGATTGTCAGAGGATTAAACAGTAAGCAGCATTGTTTGTTGGAGAGCCCTACAGGAAGTGGGAAAAGCTTAGCCTTACTTTGTTCTGCTTTAGCATGGCAACAATCTCTTAGTGGTAAGTAGTTAGTTGATATGTTCAGGTTGCTTATTGGAACCTGAAAAAAATATAATAAAGTATTTTTTATCCAGAATGATTCAACCATGTTCTAGCTAATTTAAATATTCTGTTTTAAGACTTTTTTTTTATGTTATATGTCTTCCCAGAGTTTCCAAGAACATATAGCAAAATATGTTCAATTAATCCTAAAGCAATTTTGAACATAATGTAGTCCTTTAGTTGATGATTCAGAGTATACATAAGAATCTTAGAATGCTTAGAGTTATCATTATAAAAATAATTATAATTTGTATGTAAAAGATGCAAGAGATGGGGTTGTCATGATGCTGTATACAAATAATTGGTTTTTTTGAGTAAATCCTTTAATGTATTTGCTTATCTGTCCTTTCCTTCCTCATAACATTAGAACATGGAATATATAAAAAAGAAAACATTCTAGTTCATCTTGCTACTTGTTTGGATGCCAGATAAGCAAATTCTTTACTATTGTTTTTACGAATTCATATTATTTCCCATTACTTTTACTTTATTTACTAACAAATGCCTAGTGACATTTGATTTTGTGAAAGACGAATATACATAGTGAATCTGAAATACAATATTGGATACATTTCAGTTACGTAAGTAGATGGCTTAGACCTAAAGTATTAGAAGAGTTTAAAGTTAACCATGGGGCCTTGTGTGTGTGTATGTATATGTGTGTGTGTATGTATATGTGTGTGTGTATGTATATATGTTTTTAAAAAGGAATTGTCTGTGCTACTGATACGACTGTATTAAAAATAAAAAGTAAAAATTTTGTAAGCTTTTGGTTGTCCATTTTGAGTCTTACTGATGTTAATCTTTTGGGGAAAATGAGATTATCTGTTAATAACTTAAAACTTTAATGAGAGACTCTGGAAAATAGAATTAGTAGTATATATGTAGTAAAGATGGGAGAATAATGTGAGTACTGTTTATAGAAAATAAAACAAATCATTCAGGTTTTTTTTTAGTATCTATGAATTGCGTATTTATACATGTAGGCACACAATGTAGACCTGTTACAGGTCTGTATTATATTTAAGTATTAAAAATTGCCTATTTTCTTTAATTTGATTTTGACCTTAAAATGTATTTTGATACATTATCACAACTGATATGTCATGAAACGTTTCTGTTTGAAATAGAAGTGTAATGTGGGAATGATTTAACTTTCAAATTCTTCATTTAGGGAAATAGCAGTAATTAAGAATGTACTTTAGGTCTATATTTTAATCCTCCCTGCTTGATATTTTAATAAATCTCAATATAAATGAATACTAGAGTGGTTGTGCCTTTATTACATTATTAATCTTTGACTATTATATTTTTGTAAATTATGTAAAATGATGATAACTTCTCTATAAATGCTCCTGGCATAAGTGTTTCTCTCCTGTCCTAATTCGATGCTGCAGATAGGCTGACCAATTTGTCCAGATTTGCCTGGTATTTTCCTGGTTTTAGCACTGAAAATCTTCCATCCCGGGAAGCTTCCCAATCCTGGGCAAATTGGGGTAGTTGCTCACTCTAGCTGCAGAGGAAGATTAATGTTTTTTTAATTAGAAATATTATAAATAAGTTCTTTCATTTTTAGGGAAGCCAGTGGATGAAAGCTTAAGTAAAAAAGGTGAAGTACCGTTGTCATGTTGTTGTACATGCCATTCAAAGAATTTTACAAACGGTGACGTGAACCAAGTAACTTCACATCATTTCAACCGTCCAAGTACACCACCTTCTGAAAGAAATGGCATTTCATCAACTTGTCAAGGTAGTTTATATTTTTGCCTGGGTCTATTGGTATCTATAATAGGAAACTTAATTATTGCTTAATTATTATAGTCCGGAAATCCCTGGACTATTTTATTCTTGGCTTGGCTTTTAATTTACTTGGACATTTTGCTATCTTAAATCATTTTTTGAAGAAGGCAAGTCAAAATAAATGATATTCAGAAATTAATGTTATTTGTAGGCAGTATTGTTAATTATATGTTAGAATTTTATAAAACATTGATTTATATTGTAAGACAAAATCTAAGTAGCCTCATTCATTCTTGATAAGTTTGTATGAACTTCTGAAGCCAGTATCCTACATGAGGATCAGGTATATTTTATGTATGATCCTTAAATAGTTCTTATTAGATTTATTTAAGAGAAATATATTAAGAATAACATAAGATTATTAATTTTCAAAAGGTATTTCTTCTGCTTTGACTATATGGAAAGGATTGATTGTTTTTTGCCTACACGAGAAATCTAGGAGACATCCTGTACACTTTGTTCTACCTTATTTCTCTATGCAAATCTCTATCTCCATTGATACCTCCCTGGTCCAAACTACCATCTTTTCTTTAGAGGATGCAATAACTTCTTTTCCTGCTTTCATTCATGCTATTCCTTAGCTAATCACTGGCAGGGAGAAAAGAGGTTGCTGTGAGTATCTTAAGTCTAAACAGTATCCGCTTAAAATCAAGGATGGAGTCATCTTCCTCTAAGGCACATGACTGTGGAGGAGGGTAGCTGCTTGAACTAAAGTGTGATTCTGTTAGGAATGAGGAAGAGGAGGTGGAATAGATACTGGAGAGGTGACTAGTAGTGTTGCCTACACTGTTGTTGACTCTTAGCCCTTTTGGCTTGCTTTCCCTTCCTTCAAACGGTCATGCTGTCTCCTGCCTCACAGCCTTTGCTTGTGTTAGTGTCTCTTCTGAGAAAAGCTACATCTTCAACTTGTTATTCTACTCTTCCATTAGGTCTCAGCTGCCATGTCACTTCCTTAACGAAGCCATACTGACCTTTCTGTTAGACCAGATTTGGTTTACCTATTATATTCTGTGATCTCATTGTGGATCTCCTGTCACAGTTTGTATTATCCATGTGTCTGTGTGCATCTTTTAGTAATGTGTGTCCCCTAGCAGATTGTATACTTTGTGAGGTCAGAGACCATGTCAGTTTGCTTACCGTTGGATCCCTAGAAACTAGCAAGGTGTTTGGCGTATAGTAGGTGCTAGATAAATATTTGTTGTATGAATTAATGGAATTGATTTTGAGCTAATTATAAGAACTCTGGTTTATAATATTTATTTACAATCTGTATTTTTTAAAAAACAGCTTTATTGAAATATAGTTGACATAACAAATTGTATTTATTTAAATGGTACATTTGATAAGTTTTGACATAAGTGTACCTCCATGAAACTTTCATCAGTATCAAGATAGTGAACATATCCATCACCTTCTAAAGTTTTCTTGGGACTGGCCCAGTGGTGTGGTGGTTAAGTTCTTCACGTGCTCCGCTTCAGCAGCCTAGGATTCACAAGTTCGGATCCCAGGAGCTGATCCACAAACACTACTCATCAAACCATGCTGTGGTGGCATCCCACATACAAAATACAAGAAGATTGGCGCAGATATTAGCTCAGCGACAATCTTCCTCAAGCAAAAAGAGGAAGATTGGCAACAGATGTTATCTCAGGGCCAATCTTCCTCACCAAAAAAAAAAGTTTTCTCATCCTCTTTGTTATCCCTACTTCCCAACCTCCATGACCCACCCTTCCCAAAAAACCACTACTTTACTTTCTATCACTACAGATTAGTTTGTGTTTTCCAGAGTTTATATAAGTGGAATCATACAATTTGTACACCTATTTTGTCTAGCTCTTTCATATAACATAATTCTTTTGAAATTAATCCATGTCGTTGCATGTATCAACAGTTTGTTCCTTTGTATTGCTGAGTAATATTCTGTTGTTTGGATATACTACAAATTGCTTATCCAGTCACCTGTTGATGTATATTTGAGTTGTTTCTTGTTTTGGGCTATTACAAATAAAGCTGCCAAGAATATTCATGTATAAGTCTTTGTTATGGACATGTGCTTTCATTTTTCTGGGTAAATACCTAAGAATGGAATGACTGGATCACTTACGTTTAACTTTTTAAGAAACGTCCAAACTTTCCCAAAGCAGTTGTACCATTTTACATTCCTACTGACAGTGTCTGAGAGTTCCCATTTCTCTGCATCTTTGCCAACACTTGCTAAGGTCAGTCTTTTTAGCCATTTTAATAGGTGTGCAGTGGTATCTCATTGTGTTTCTTTTTTTTTGAGGAAGATTAGCCCTGAGCTAACGTCCGCTGCCAATCCTCCTCTTTTTGCTGAGGATGATTGGCCCTGAGCTAACATCTGTGCCCATCTTCCTATTTTATACGTGGGACGCCTGCCACAGTATGGTGTGACAAGCTGTGTGTAGGTCTGCACCCGGGATCCGAACCAGTGATCTCCGGGCTGCCGAAGCAGAGCACACGAACTTAGCCGCTACACCACTGGGCCGGCCACTTGTGTCTTTAACTTGCATTTCTCTAATGCTTATGATGTTGAGCATCTTTTCATGTGCTTATTAGCCATCTGTATATCTTCTCTGTTGAAATGTCTGTTGAAATCTTTTGCCCATTTGTTCTTTCTTTTCTTGAGTTTTAAGAGTTCTTTATATATTTTGAGTACAAATTTTTTTTAATCAAATACAGTTTTAGGTTTTACTTTTAGGTCTAAGATTCATTTTGAGTTAATTTTTGTATATGGTGCAAGATATGGATCAAAGTTCATTTATTTTGCATATGGATATCTCATTGTTCAGCACCATTTATTGAAAAGGCTATCCTTTATCCACTGCATTGCGTTTGTGCCTTTGTAAAAAAATCAGTTGTCAATATACACAAAACTTGCATTTTGACCTTATTGTGAGTTAGAGTTGTTTAGAATAGTCTCTTGAAGGATCAGGTGGGGTAAATCAGGATAGTATTCTGATATTCTCTTTATATTTTTAAGTAAATTCTTTAAGAAGATATAAAAGCTGAATACAGAAAAGCGCACAAATCCTAAGTGTTTAGCTTGATGAATTTTCACAAAGTAAACAGTTGTGTAATTACCATCTTGATAAAAAATAGCATATTATCAACACCCCACAGGCCCTTCTCATGTTCTTTTCCAATCACTATCCTTTCTCTCCATAGGTAATTGCTTTCCTCCCTTCTGTCACCATTGATGAGTTTTGGCTCTTTATAGAAATGGAATTATATCTGTACTCTTGTGTCTGTCTACTTTTGCTTAACATTGTATTTCTGAGGTTCATTCATGGTGTTGGATATAGTAGTTCTTGTTGCTGTATATTATTTCCTTCTCTGAATATATCATAGTTTATTGGTCCATTCTACAGTTATTAGACATTTGAGTGGTTTCTACTTTAGGCTTTTAATGCTATTAAGAACATTCTTGTTCATTCTGGTGCAAATAGGTAAGTATTTTCTATTGGATATATGCCTAGGAATGGAATTGCTGGTCACAGTGTATGCCTATGTTCAGCTATAGCAGACACTGCCAACATTTTCCAAAGTGGTTGAACCAGTTTATGCAACCCCTTGTCCTCCATCCAGTAGTATATGGAAGTTACATTGTTTAACATTCTTGTTAATGCTTGATATTTCCTGTCTTTTAAAATTTTAGCCATTCTGGTGCGTGTGTGGTGTTCTCATGAGTTTTTTTTCTCCCTGCTTTTTTTGTCCAAAGACCCCCAGTACATAGTTGTATATTTTAGTTGTGGGTCCTTCTAGTTGTGGCATGTGGGACGCCGCCTCAGCATGGCCTAATGAGCAGTGCCGTGTCCGCGCCCAGGATCCGATCCCTGGGCTTCCAAAGCAGAGCACGAGAACTTAACCACTCAGCCATGGGGTTGGCCCCTCTCATGATTTTTAATTGGTATTTCTCTGGTGACTAATGAGGTTGAACATCTTTTTATATGTTTATTGGTCATTTGAATATCCCCTTTAGTGAATTACCAATTCAAGTTGTTTGCCCATTTTTCTACTAGGTTGTTACTGATTCCTGGGAGGGTTTTTTTTTGTTTTTTTGTTTTAATTCTGGATATATCTTGTTTCTTTATAATTTTGTATTTTAAAAATTTAGCTCCTTTGATAAGCTTCCTGCAAACTTTCCTGCTATAAAGAACAGGAAGATAAGCCTTTTTGTATATGCAGATAATATGATTTTTTTTTTTTAATGAATTGGAGTGTATCTTATTTGGCACATGGCAGTCTAAAACTAAATTATTGTTTTTGGTAGGCGTTCCCTACCCTTTAGTGGGCCCATACAAATTTGCCCCTTGATTTATTTGGGGCAGGGTTTCGCAACAGTAGCACCATTAACATTTTGAATGGGTTAATTCTTTGTTGTGGGGGCTGTCCTGTGCACTGTGGGATGTTTAGCAGCATCTCCTGGGCCTCAACCCACTAGATGCCAGTAGTACTCTCCTCCTTTGTGACAACCAAAAATGTCTCCAGACATTGCCCAATGTCTCTCGAATGGAATGTGAGGGTGTTAAAATTGCCCCAGTTGAGAATGACTGATCTAGATTTGTTTTGTGGGTATTTTGCCAGTTTTCCAGGAAGTTGCAGAGTTCAAAATTACATGTCTTTCCTAAAATGCATATCTAAATAGAAAGGACTAAGAATAGCCAAGACACTTTTTAAGAAGCAGGTCAGGTGAGAAGACTTGATCTATGAGATATCTGATTTATAATATATAAAGCTATAGTAATTAAAGCAGTTTGATATTAGCACAGTGGTAGACCAGAGGAAAACAACAGAGAACCCAAATTCAGTTCCACACGTATCTAGAAACTTGATTTTTTTTTTTTTTTTTTATAGAAGTGCTCCTACAGAGCAGAGGGCAAAGGAGAGACTTTTCTGTAAGTGGTACTGGAACTATTAGATATCCATATGGAAAAAATTGAAATTGGAGCCCTACTTTACTCCATACACAAAAATCCATTCCAGGTAGATTTAAAGACCTAGGTATGAAAGGCAAAACCATTAAGATTTTAGAATATAGTGGTTTTCAAACCGTGTTTTTAAGAGGCTTAGGAAGAAACATGGCTTGTAGGGGGAAGGGGACAGTGGATCAGGGCAGTTCTAGATCTTTTATCCTATTTTGGAAATTTTAAACAATATTTCTTTAAAAAAAATATAGTCCTCCTCAGAAAAAGCTTGAAAACGAGTGCTGTATGGCATAGATTCACTTCTGTGTTTGTACAGACTCAAACTTGTTTTTCGAAAATAGTATTGGATCTGCTTATAGGGCTTTCTCTCCCAATAGTCTGTAAATCCTTTAAGCCTAGGGACTGTTATTTTTCTTCATGCTTTTTTTCCATGGTGTCTGGAATTGTATGGACTCAATAAAATAAATGCTTGCTAAATGAATTCAAGCCCTGGGAGTGGAGGGAATGCTCTTCTCTAAGAGCAGAGAGGAAGGAAGGTACTTTTAAAAACACTCTCATTTACAGAAAGGGAGAAACCAATGTATAAGAATAGTTAAGGACAGCATTACAGACATTAAGGAAAAAGGAAATATGTTTGTTATGTTCCAAGAAGACAGAGCATTATGTTTGGCTGTATGCCTAGAGGTTATACTTATGGATTTTTAGAGTCAGCAGGAGTCAGCCATCTCCAGGCTCTGCCTCTTACTAGCTATATATTATTGGGCATGAACTTGACTTCTTTCAAACCTGTTGTTCACATTTATAAAATGGGGATAATATTATTTGGTGATTAAGAGGTCATTAATGACCTTGAGATTGAGCTTTCAGGATTGTGGCATTAAAAGGTAGATTGTAGGATCTTGATTCTCCTATATTTTCAAGCCTAAAGAGCATTGAGAAGCTTAGTAAGAAAGGAACATTTTGACACTGTGAAGACAGATTTTTATAGAAATGAAATATATTTTCTTGAGAGAATCTTACAGTTATTTTTTTAAACCATGTTATTAGGATTTGTCTACAAAAGCGTAAACCTAAAATTGGACTTAACTGTTGAAAGCATATTTCTCAAAATGTTTGCTATATCTTTGTTAAAGTAAACTGAGTGATAAAGAAGCGCTTTTAAGTATGTTTAGCATTTCTTGTTTTAAAGTATGTTATGAAATTTTAGAAATGCCTTACATCTTGATTCCAATTTTTTTAAGAAAAATTACCTAAGTGTAAGTTATTTGTGCTAATTTTTTATGACTTCTTATATAAGACTCTCCTGAAAAAACTACGCTGGCTTCAAAGCTATCTGCCAAGAAACAGGCTTCCGTATGCAGAGATGAAAATGATGATTTTCAAGTAGAGAAGAAAAGAATTCGACCCTTAGAAACTGCACAGCAGGTAAACAGAGTTTATTGGCAGTGAAATAATCTCATTAGTTATAGCTCAACAAAGTAGTCAAGTATCAACCAAGTTTTCCGTGGCACTTGTAGAAATTAGTTGGGTCACGTCACAGATATAAATCTAATGGTAAATTATTCTAACTTCATTTTATATAGTTATTCATTACAAAGGAGTTTGTAATTATAGTAGATTATTCCCAGTAACATGTCGTTAAAGTGAAACTGCATGGTCCTTTCTTATGTAAGAGGAATTTGACAGTGAAATATTTACTTAAGGTGTATATTAGTAATATAGCTACTTTGTACTTTTAAGTCTTCTGTTGTTTTTATACAATAATGGCATTTTCTTTTGGCCAAAATACCTTTGATATGAATATTTATGTCATGGATATTTTTGGTATTGATAGTTTTAGTATAATGACAAGTATTACTCTTAGTTATTGAGTTTTTAATATTAATACATGATAAAATATGTTTATTTCTAAAAATTATTGAAAGATATGAATTACCAGATATTTTAAATGAAATGTACTTTTCATAGATGAATACAATGTTTTCTTCTAGAGTTCATGACAGTGAAGTAGGAGGCTGGGACTTTAATAGACTTAGTTACAAATAAAAAATGATTAATTAATTAGCATGTCATTTGTAGGTGATTATATATTTTTCATTGATTATACTCAAAAAGTATTTGCATTCTTATGGAGTTTAGTCCACTTACAATCTTTATTAACTTCCATAATTAAACCTTGCTTTTAGAACTAGAATGAACTGGTTTACTTTTCAAAAAGGACCAATTACAAATAAAGTGTGAATCTATAAAGACTTTTTCCCCAAAAAAATGTGTACATAGCGTTGGGCGTTATGAGATAGGGCTCAACATATAACATTTATTCCCTGACTTTGGCTCCCATTTCTTTTTTGGTAGGAATGGGATTATCAATAGAAGTGCTCCCCCTTGCTTTATAATTTAAGTAAATAGGTTTTTGGCAAGTAGAAAAAAGCATGGACAGTTTGGAAAGAAAACTTAGTGGTATTTATAAAAGAAGTTTAGTCAAATATAATTTGGATTAGCAAATATCTAGTAAGTAATAGTAATAATAGTAATCAAGTAATTTATTCTATCATGTAGGAAATCATGAATATTTACATTTAAAATTTTTTTCCTTTTTTTTCAATATAGAATGAAGTTTCCATTTTTATTTACTTTAATTTTCCAATTAGATATGTAATTGGATTTTGCTATAATACTATACTTGGTGTCCATATGGTGGGAGTATTTTATGGGAAGATCATTTTGTAATACAATAGTTTTGACATATCACTAATTAAAGCTATTTTAGTTAGGATTTGAGAGGTATTACTGTATTCTAAGTCTTGTAAAAGGTATCTATTTGTATTTTAAAAAATTATTTGATTATTGCCAGTCAGAAATAGTCTTTTTTTTAATGCTGAAACCACACATTATAGCTATTTTGACTTTTGAGAGCAACAAGCCTGCTCAAACTTTTAGTTTACATTAAACTTCATTTTGGTTATGTGTTTACAGATTAGAAAACGTCATTGTTTTGAAAAGGAGGTGCACCACTTGGATGCGAAAGTTGCTGCAGGAAAGACCACAGAACTCATCTCTTCATTAAGGAAGATAAACTCCTTTTCTCTACAGAATGTATGTATTTATGCTGTCATTCACTTTGAAGAAGGAAAATGTGGAATTTGCTAAATCCGTTTTTGAAAAAAGAGGAATAGTATAATGTAAAGAACAATACAAAACAACTCATAAGTCTTACTTGCTGTCACATCTCTTTGTGCCCCGGTTTCCTCATTTATAAAATGAGAGAATTGGACTAGAAAGAAATCTGAAAGTTTTTTTTCTCTTCTACGTTCTGATGTTTATGAACTCTACTTCCTTTAAGTTCTTTCAGTGTCCGTAGGGCAGCAGGTCTCAAGGAGTGGTCCAGGGAGCTCTAGAGATTCCTGAGATTTTTTTTCAGGTGGTCTGTGAGGTCAGAAGTATTTTCATAGTAACATTAAGATGCTATTTGCCTTTTTTTACTGTCTGGACATTTGCACTGATGGTGCAAAAGCAATGATGGGTAAAACTGTTGATGCCTTAATACAATCAGGATAGTGGCACCAGCCTGCATTAATAGTAATTTTCTTCACCATCATTAATGCACAGTTTAAAAAGACCAGTTTCACTTAAGGATGTCCTTGATGAAACCGTAAAAATTACTAATTTCATTAAATTTCAGCCCTGGAGATTTTTAACCTGTGTGGAGAAATGAGTAGTACTCATAAAACACTTTTGCATGCAGGAGTAGGGTGGCTGTCTTGAGGAAAAGCACTTGTAGGATAGTTTGGATTGTGAGCTGAACTAGCCACTTTTTTTTATGGAACATCATTTTTACTTGAAAGAATGATTCATAGACTAACTATGGTAATTCTTGAAAATAAACAAAGTGTGAGCCTGACAAAATTTGAGGTTTCAAGGGGGCCAGCCTGGAGGCATAGTGGTTAAGTTTGCATGCTCTGCTTCAGCGGCCTGGGGTTTGTGGGCCCATATCCTGGGTGTGGATCTAGCACTGCTGTTCAAGCCACGCTGTGGTGGCATCCCACAAAAAATAGAGGAAGATTAGCATAGACGTTAGCTCAGCAACAATCTTCCTCAAGCAAAAAGAGGAAGATTGGCAACAGATATTAGCTCAGGGCCAATCTTCCTCACAAAAAAAAAAAAAAAAAAAAAAAAAAAATTTGAGGTTTCAAGTGAAATTCAGCATTTTGAAAAACTGTGTATACCATTGTGAGCTTGGCAGTTTTCTGATACTTAGAGACTTTTCTGATGATATTGGTGGTGATGTTATAGAAAGTGACTTTTTGATATTATGTAATGAAATATGTTAACATTTGTAAGATCTTTAAAATCAGTGAATGAGACAGTTTCTAAATGACCTGTGCATGATATTACAGAATGATATCTTGAAAAAAGATCCATCCTAAGTGCAAGATAGACCAATGGACCTTTTTTTGCCTCATCCTCCTATCCCCAGGCAACCACAAATTTTTTTTTTCAGTAACTATAGATTAATTTTCATTTCCGTAGTTTTATGTAAATGGAATCATGCCTGGTAATTTTTCATCAAGTTCCAGATACTGTGAATTTTACCTTGTTGGGTGTGATGAGTGTTGTTATATCTCTATAAATACTCTTGCGTTTTGTTCTGGGATGCAGTTAAGTTACTTGGAATCAGCTTGATCCTTTTGGGTCTTGCTTTTAGGATTTGTTAGGTGGGACCTGAGCAGAGTATAGTTTTTGGCTACCTCAATAGAGGGTAGCTCTGTCTGATGCTCCATTAATTGTGAGATTTCCATCCTGGCTGGTGGGAACAGGCACTATTACAGGCCCTGTGGGAGTGCCTCATCATTTCAGGTGCTTCTTTCTACTATCTTGGATTGTTTTCTCACTGCCATGTGCTGATCAGTACTCTACTAGATACTTGAGAGGTCCCTTTGCAGATCTCTGGAGTTCATTCTTTGTGCAGCTCCCTCCACTCTCGTGTTCTTCCCTATGCACTTTAGTCTTCTTGGTCTCCCTGGACTCAGCAGTTTCTCTTCACTTGGGTTTGCTGGGCTATATGGGTTTCCCCTCCCTACACCAGAGCCTGGAAACCCTCTTGAAAGACAAGCTGAGGTGATCATTGGGCCTATCTCATTTGTTTCTTATCTCTCAGGGTTCAGTCTTCCTTCCCTGATGTCCTTTATCTTAAAAACTGTTGTTTCTGGGGCTGGCCCCGTGGCCGAGTGGTTAAGTTCACGTGCTCCGCTGTGGTAGCCGAGGGTTTCACTGGTTCAGATCCTGAGCGCGGACCTGGCACCGCTCATCAGGCCATGTTGAGGAGGCATCCCACATGCCACAACTAGAAGGACCCACAACTAAAAATACACAGCTATGTACTGGGGGGCTTTGGGGATAAAAAGGAAAAACAAAATCTTTCAAAACAAAACAAAACAAACTATTGTTTCATATATACTATCTGTATTTTTAGTTTTTCTGGTAGGAGGTGAAAAAACTCGTTGACTCTGGGGACAAATTGCAAAAATCTTTAGATGGCTTATAACTCTCCTGTTTACCTGTACAGTCATTAGACCTTTATAAGCTTTTTGCATTCTTTTTGCCCTTTCCCTTCCTCCCCACTCTTCCTTTTGACCAACTTCTGCTAATCCTTCACGCAGCCTTCTTTGACATCCCCAATTTTGAGTTAGATTCCCATCTGGAATGTTCCTTGTACTTCTCAGTTTTTAACACTTACCTTACTCTTATTATCTTGTCCACAAGGCTCTAAGTTTTATTAAGGACAACACCAGGTTCTCCGGTAGACTGAGAACTCCTTGAAGGCTGTGACTATTTTATTCATCTTTATATTCCAAACACCTAACCTAGTGCTAGAAACTTAGTTGTAGGTTGAGTGAGTGAATGCCATAATCCCTGCCCTCAAAGACACTTCCTTTTAAATTCTTGAAAATACAAGTGGGAAAAAAAAAATTGTTAGTTATTTTCACAGAAGCCTTATAATTGGAGAAGTCATCTCAGGAGATTTTAATGTTAAATTGTCAGTAAGAGTATATGCTATATATTTGCCTCCGCCATTCTTTTCTCACTCATTTTCTTTCACAGTGTGTTATTTTCTTCATAGCCCCTACTATTTGAATTTGTCTACTTGTTTATTGTCTATCTGCACTGTTGGAATGTAATGTCAGTCTTCTTCATATGTATCTCTGGTACCTAGAATAGCATATGGTATATATTATTTGCCCAATAAATAACTATTGGTAGAATCTTGTTGAATTCTTACAATGACTGTGAGTCGGGTATTATTGTTATTTCCATTTTACAGGTAAGGACACTCTGAGAAGTAAGTAATTTGCCTAAACTCACAAAGCTGGCCAGTAGGGGAGCTCCATCCTACTTAAGCAATCTGATGCTCTGGCAAATGCTGTAATTGCTTTATTATACATTCTCTCTAAAAAGCCTCTCAGAAATGCTGCAGCCATCCAAGCAGGATTCTAACACCAAGATAAGGAAAGGAATATTATGTAGAAGGCTCAAGGATCAAGAAATCAAGTATAGAATAAGCTGTGATTGATAATCATTAAAATAAGATACAGGAGTGGATTTTGTTTTGTTTTTAGTGGATAAGAGAATGAACTCAAATCATACTGCCTGGGTTTTAATAACAGCTCTGCTCTTTACTACCTGTGTCATCTTGATTAAGTTTTAAACTATTGCTATTCACTTTCCTCGTTTGTTAAATGGGGATGGTAATAGTACCTATCTCACAGGGCTGTGTTATGAGGATTAAACAAGTTAATGCTTAAACAGTGCTTAGAGTACGCCTGACATATCTTGGAGCTTATGAAGTGGTAAGTGGTAGTAGAAGTAGCAGCAGCAGCAATAGTAGTAGCAGCAGCAAATAGTTACATATTTGTATGCTGCTGATAAGATATAGCATTGATTAATAATATTATGTATATGTAGTTATCTTTAAATGTTGCTAAAAGGTATTATATAATATTCATTAATAGTATTAATTTTGAGGAGTTAGGTTTTTAATTAAGTAACAAATTCTTTTAATATCTGTTAAGGATGTTTTTGGCTGCATCTGTTTAGAGTCTAGACCACTTGACCATAAGCAGAACTTCTATGCTCCTGGCTGAGTACCTTAATTTTAAGCCAAGTGCTTTGATTGATTGACTATGTAGATCATTTATTATCTTCTTCTCATTGGTAAAATATAATTGTATCTATATCTGTATATTCATATCTTTATATAAGTTTTATTTTTAAACTGGAAATTGCAAGTTTTCTACCTTAGCTTTAGGTGGTATAACTCTACATTGCTTTAGAAATGGAATAATTTTTCCTAGGTGGGTGATTTATTGCTCATAATATTAAAGGTAGGGGTTTCTGCCAATTTCTTGTAAGTTTGAAGACTTATTGAACGAGCTAAATCTCTCAGTTAAATCTAGTAACTCAAATGGTAAAATTTCACTAGTGTGGCCAAGAACTTTTGTTTGTAAGAAGATATTAATGATATATACCATACTAATTAAACATGCAAAACTTATCAGAGACCAAGGTACTTTTTTGCAATGACAGAAAGACCATATGTTTGAACTCTAATACTCGCTCTTTTTTGGTAGTCTGTAGTGAAAAGCATGAATATATAAAGTAATTTTAGGTACTTTCTGAATGGTTAGGAAAAAACTCACAAATACCTTGGGCCGACAAAGCTGAGTGCGCGAACTTAACCACTTGACCACAGGTCTGGCCCCTCTCTTTTTGTTTTAATTGAGGTATAATTGTCATATAACATTATATTAGTTTCAGATGTACAGCATAATGATTTGATATTTGTATATATTGTGAAATGATCACCACAATAAGTCTAGTTAACATCTGTCGCCATATAAAGTTACAAATATTTTATTTTTCTTGTGATGAGAACTTTTAAGATTTATTCTCTTAGCAACTTTCACCTATGCAGTACAGTATTATTAACTATAGTCACCATGCTGTACATTCCATCCTCATTACTTATTTTATAACTGGAAGTTTGTACCTTTTGACCCCCTTCACTCATTTCTGCTATACCTCACCCCTTAGCTCTG